CTGAGTGATGCGTGTGAATGTTTGTGTGTGCGCGCGCGTTCAGAGATGACAAACAGATATATATATATATATATACATATACATATACATATACATATACATACACACACACAGGAGCACAACTCTCTCTCTCTCTCTCTCTCTCTCTCTCTCTCTATATATATATATATATATTGGGCACATAGGCATGTATGTATGTATGTATGTATGCAAGTATATAAAAGTGTATTCATGCATGCACGAGTCGCCCCTTGTGGGGCTGCAGGTTTGCTATTGCATTCTCGCAGGGTGTATGATTTGGCCGCTTTACTGGACCGAAAGTTTTGTGGCCAAGCACCCTTGTCAAGCCTTAGCCTTTCACCTGGTGCTCAATTAAGGGCTTCGGGGTTGCTAGACACCATCTCCTTCAACTAAGAATTCGCAGGTTTGAGTCCTTAGTTAGTGTTTGCCCATCATCAATGCAGGGTCGCACTGGTTCTTTTGTAGGCTTCGGGGCTTGAACTCGTTGGGGTGGTGCAACGTCGGGTCGCTTGCGTGGTTGAGGAGTTCTCAGGTGTCATGCCTTGAAAGAACCGGATTTCGGTTGGGAGCCATACTGGGAGTGATTAGGATTTCGTCCAGTAACAGCGTTTAGGGCATAAGGATTGCCACCCATGTGGTTGTCGTTTAGGTTTTGACAGATTTTGAGCTTGCCATCTGGAGAATCTAGAGCTTGTTTTCTATCGGGAACCAATCAGAAAAGGATTGGACCCGGGCTCTCAGCCTGGAGGGATGCACCCCTGAATAGCAGAGTTGCTCACTACATGCAACTGTCGATTGCGGATTGGTAAAGTCAGTGCTTGATTGACGGTCCTAGTTGATGAGACATAGTCTGTGGGTAAAGCTGTATAGTAACAGAAACAAATTAATGTGTCCATGGCATCTGCCTGAACATCGGTCTGACTCGATACATCAACAATCGAAGTCGTAGCACACACGATGCACGAAAATCCGAGGCCACCACAGCCTTCGTTTCAGTACAAAACTCATCTTGGGAGCCCTCGACCATAGGAACAGTGAACGATGTCGTCCTAGTTCTGTCGACTCTATGGCCTAAACTGATTATGAATGTATGGGCTTGCCCGCGCCTCTTCTGCCGGACAGAAGCCAAACACAATTCCAAAGCCCGCTTTCGATTTCGCACCACCAATCTTCCAAAACTCCGTACTCAGACTGAGCCAATCCTTCTAACCGGAAGCCCTAAAGCAGCGGTCACCAACCCTGAAGAACGCACAGAACCCGAAACACCGAATCCATGCCGATATTGAGATAATAACATGCCAGGTGGTTTAAGGGTCTCGGCTTGAGTGTCTTTCAAGGTTTACTGCGCTTCCGGCAGTCTAAGTCTTGTTTCAGCCCCCACACTCGAACATGCCCTGCACGGTTCATGACGGCACTGTCGTGCAAGCCTTCAGCAGCTCAGGAGTTGCAGTCAACAAACGGGGTTTGCCGGGACTGGCATACAACTCCGGGAAGCCTCTATGCATGTATGCCCACATGTGACCTGCGGACGCAGGATGTTACTGGTTATTGTATATATTATAGAGTACACTGCATACACCCCCATATTTCGTGCAACCACCTCACAATCAACGCCAAGTCTTAGACATATTGAAGGGCTCCTAGCCGTCTTTGCATGCCGCGCCTCCTGGGAAACTTTCTCAAGCTGCGCCGACATCCTTCACAGCGAGGCTCGATGGTGCAGGTTTTGCGGAGTTGGCATTCGAGCCCCTGCCCGTTTAGACCAACCAGGAGCCCAACACACAAAACCCTATAGGCCTTTCGCCACCCCTTTACGAGACCTGCCCATTCCGACAGTGTCCGCCTCTCTCAACCAGCCGGAAAATCTCCCAGCTTTTGAGGAGCTGATCGAAAGATCCTCGGCCAAACCTGAGTAAATCCCACCAGCCCTGCCCCGATCCTGAGTTCTAAACTTTCTAAACCCCGCGAACCCGAAGCTTTGTCCGGGCACCCCTGCTGCTCTATGCGCGGGCCGAGAAGGCTCAGCCCATGCAGCAGGTCATCCATGGCCTTGGCATTGTGCCTATCTGGAAGCTATATGCACTCTGCCTCACAGCTGTGGGGATCTCGCTCTTACCCTCAATCATACTCAATCTATAGACCGCTCAGCCCTGACCTGGCCGCTTTGGTGTCAGCTGCCATTTTTGTCTCAGGAACCGGGGCTCTAACGATTGTTGGATCTCATCGGGTCGGTGTCACCGCCGCCAGCACCGGTACCACCACCAGTTGCAAGTGAAGAAACTGCACAAATTTCCACGAGGCCCTAGAGCTTGGACTGGTAAAACTTCTAGCATACTCGCTGGGAGTTGGCACTGTGCATGGAACAAGATTAGATATGCCGTCATCTGCGCTCTGATGCATGCGACCGTCCCAGAACGTGCTGTTGCGCCTCTGAAAGGTGGTGCGCAAACGGGCCCACGAACACCCAATGCCGTCGAGAGTCTTCTTTCGAGCCCTGGCCCGCTCAGGGTTCTGGCCAGCTAAGCCCAGTGGCTGCGCATATCTGTTCGGCACCCTACACGGACTTCAATGCCAACTAGATGGAGGAAGAAGAACATGATTAAACTTAGCGAATGCAGAGCACCCGGCGGTCTACATGGTGGTCCAGACAGCCGCCATCTCTCCACGCACAATCACATACACTACATCCTCATAATGGACCTGGAACACAGTCCAAAAACGTGCTTGGCTTACGACCTGCTGCCACCGCTAAAGCGGCATGATATGCACATATTCAGAGCCCTGTTTGCAGCAGGCTTCTCTCGCCCTATTCAGAGCCCTTACACACCGAACAGCAATACGACCTTGCCCGCAGAAGACCGAATCGGTGAATCAGAACATCGCACCAGCTCTTGCTATTCTTCCGCTGTTTTTGCTTTCCTGCTCTGCAAGCTCAGTTCCGGAAGCGAGGACGCAAAGGAGGAATCAACATTTCTGAAAGGGAAACCACACCACCGAGCCCAGGAGAGGAATGGCATGGCCCCGCAACACAAAGACCAGGATACGGGTGAGGACCATCCTGCAATCCCTGAGCTTTCCAGCAACCTGTGAAGACTGGGCCCGTCGTCAAAAGCTCTGATGCTGAACCGTCCCTCTGCGACGTGGAAGTGAAATGCTTAAACACGGACGAGATCGGCCTGCATCGAATTTTGGAAGTTTTTGAAAGGTTCTTAGGCTTAGGGCTATCCCCACACTGACACTGCAGAGTAAACACTATACATATAGAGTCAAATTAAGAGTCTTCACTGCCTATAGATGGTGCCTAGAAGCGCTTCTGTTGCGTGGGGGTACGCGATGTTAGGCTATATTTCACTTAGCATTTGATTTGTCTGAGGTCAATGTTTCTTGCCCCTTCCTGTGCTTACTGCTGAAGGTGCATCTGTTTCAATTGGTGGCGGTGCTGCTGTTGCTGACGAGCATCAGAATGATGCTGCTGCTGGTGGCAGCCGTAATGGCGACGATGGCAGAGATATGTATGTGACAGTAGTGACAGTGATCACCACCACCACCATCATCAACATCACCATCATCAGCATAGACATTACCATACTCATCGTGATGTGGACGCTGCTGACGAAACCGACGACGAAGATCGACACCAGCATTGGCAACAATAATGGCATCGATATCACCATAAAAAAGTATCATAAGGCTTATAAGTACAATCAGGATGATCGCGGTCCGGATTTCGGGATTCATAGTGAGGGTCCTTCTGTACCTGGTACTGGTCGTGAAGAGGTTGATTATTGAGACGATGACAAGGATAATACTATTAATATCTGTTCATTGATGACGACGGCGACGATGATATTGACGGTGGTGGTGGTGCAATCGTTGTGGTTAATGGTGGTTGACGTCTATGACGATGACAATGAGGGCGATGACGCCCCGACGACGACGGCGATCGTGATGATGGTACTGATGCTGGTACTGATGACAAGACTGCTGTTGCTGTCATTGTTGTTGACCTTGCTGTTACCGTTGTTGATGTTGCTGCAGCTGTCGAAAAACCCTTGCAACTGCATGTTTAGGCAGGTGTCTGTCACCGTCCAGCAGCAGCAGGCCCGACCGTCCATACATGCGCAGCCACGACCTAGACTTTGGATAACATTGTCCCGATTCTACAGGACTCCAGGATAGTGCCACAACATGCCCCAATTTAAAGCCCATAACAGACTAGGGATGAAACACCGCATGTTCGGTTAAATCCACAAAGAATGCATGCATTAACATAATGAGCCGAGTGCCTTCTAGCAGATTCTAGCACAACACCCGAAGCAATCCCTGGCAGTGAGACAGGCAGCTCAAGCGTCAGGTGATAGGGCAATCATCGCGCACGTACTTGCCTTTAACGGGCGGGAGGCCGGTCATTGCGAGCTGCACTATAAAGATCTATATCTATATCTCTATATATATATATGTGTATATGTATATACATATGTATGTATATATATATATATATATTTCTATTTATTTATGTATGTATGTATACGGCTTCAAGTGGCAACAGCCAGCTCTTGTCCAAATGTTTGCTCCTGGACCCCTGCGCGTAGACCCTTATTATCCTCGTCAGTAGCCCAAAAGGCCCCATCTCCCAAACTGAGCTTTCAAGCCAAAGCCCTGCTTAAACAGAACTGCGCGGGCAGGAATTCTGCTCAGCTCCAAGGCTTGGGTCCCTGGCTTTCAAAGGGATTCAGGGCTTAAACCCGGCCTTTCAGAACAAGCCACAGAACTCAACCCCAAGTTCTGGATATCCGGTTTGCAGACTTGTGGGACTTCCACTTAGTGTGCAATGTCGATGTGTGACCTCCGAGCGCCCGCTGCCCCCAAGCCATTATGCTCTCGGAACGAAAGACTTCTGCAGGTGGTTGGCTACAGGGAGGAAGTGCCGTACGGCAGAACCGGATTTGATCGGGCTTCGGAATCAGGAGCGGACGCTCTCAATCACGACCAGACGTGAAGATCCTGTACGCCCAAGCCGTTTGCTTGCTCATCCTTTCCCGCGTTCCCCCGAGAAGTATAGTCAAGATTCCCTGCTTGAAGTTCTGGTACTCTTCTGGGAACAGTACCTCGGCTTTAGAATATCGCGGTGCAACGATTGGGCATCTCTCGGACGGGTTGGAAGGAGAAGGCTGCTATCCTTCAATCCCATGGTATACATGATTTGCCGAAGAATAGCTTCAAGGACTATGGCGCTAGAAAGCAGGCTCGTAGCAATTGCTACATCCAAGAATGCAGGGCAATGTGCCGGCCGTGGAAGGGGCTTCGACACGTCGCCGTGCAAGGCTTCGTCGATGGTGCGAAGCTCCAAGGTGCCTGGCTCAAGTCTCCGTTCTGGGATCTTGGGCTTCGCGTGAAGTTTGAACCTTGCCATGCGAGTCCGGATTAAGCACACGGTCCCGTACGCAGGGTGTAGAGCTGAAAGTGCCTTCCTGCTTCGGGATCCTACGGTGCTCTTCCGTGCACTGGAAGGCTTTCAGCACAGCGAGAGGAGACTCAGCTGTGGCTCGAGATTCGTGTAAGTACATACCCTGATTTTAAGACCCTACTAGCGTGTTTAGAATACGGCATTAGTCTAGAAGACTATACTGCAGCATCGTTGACTACGGTCTTTGCGTCTTGAGAAGGTTTCCTTGTGCCAAAGCAACAAAGCAACCCGACTACTTCTAGTTTGAATCTTGAATGACACCCATACTGCATGGCCATCGTTATTGAGATCATTGGGTCTACTCCGAGCTTTAGCTCGATGCCAGTTCTGTTGTGGGGCTTGGAGATCAAGCCTTCTGATTCTGTCCTCCGAGATCCGGATCAAGGAGTTGGGTACTTGTAGCGTTTATAACGTGACCTTAAACCCTGATGGGACCCTGAAATCGTAAGCGCCCCAGGTAGCGGAGCCAAACGGGTTTCGTTTTGTGATTGGCAGTGCATTGCTTGCACTTCGAGTGTTGGCTGTAGTCGCGGAACCGCCAGCAGCCTGAACACTAAAGTAAAGCCAACTACACGGCAAAGTTTGACCATAAGGGACTTGATCGGACCCGGGCGGGTAACCCCACGTCTGCCACCGAAGGGCGTCCCCAAACGTCCTCCGAAGCGTGGTAGGACCTTGCATTGAACACTCCGAAGCCTTGGGGTATCAAAAAGCTTCGGGCCGGACATATGCTACCAGCTGGGTACAAAAGAGGGGACCGGAAAGCAAGGTCGGGACTCGGGACACATCTCTATGAACTTCCGAGCACGGAAACATCTTCAGAGGTTTCGGTGCGCCGACTGGTCACAGCACACTCTGCCGAACTTAGAACCCCCCCGCTCGAACTCTATGCCCAGACCAAGTTCAACAAAGCCAGAGCCCGAGATGGCCAAATGGCGAACGTAACATCAGAACCTTTATACGCGGAAGGCTTTTTTCTGTAAGGACGGAGTTCGAAGGTGGGCCCCACCTAAACAGGATTGGGAAATCTAAGGACCTGAGGTTAGCTTCGATGGGTCGAGTGAGTTGCAGGGAACCCCTGCAGTGGCTGAATGCTCTCCCAGCGGCGGGCTGGCTTCCACGAAAGGTACGCCTCCCCGCACAACACGCTCCTGAACTCAGCATACATGGGCTTACGTTTTCCTGAGCTACTCTGACAGAGCACTTGCGAAGCGTGCCTTCGGCTCGATATCAAGGGTAGCGTTTTCGGTCAAAGAGTCTTAACGTCACGATCTTCAATCTGCTACTGGTGTGCAAACCCTGACGAACAAACAAGTCCGGCAACCAAACCCAAACCCCGAAAGCCTCAAGACTGAAACCCTACAAGCATGCGGCATTGGAAGCGCGAAACCAGGTACTCCAGAACTATCCGCGCCAAACAGAAACTGCCTGCACGGGCAGAGAAAGCCCGACTTCTCGCATCTTCTCCTGAATTGGTTCGCTCGTTGTTTTGCTTTCGGCTTTGTGTGCTGTGTTGTGTTTAGGCCGAAAGGGGTTAAATGAAGCTTCTTTTTTTTTGTTGACGCCTCTTTGCCTTTCGCCTGATGGCTTTAGGATGCTTTGGGGCTAAAGCTCTTGCCAGGTAAACGGTTCCAGAACCTGGGGTCTTTTTTGGTCTTTAGAAGCTGCGATAAAGAGTGCTGGGAATGAGAAGCTCACGGCTTTATGATACGGCTCTGCGTTCCTCACTTCTAGCAGATTCGAGCACATTGGACGATGAACATGATTGCAAGCCCCAAAATAATTGCGTATAACCCGGCATAACCCTGAAACAGCCCTAATCCCTCGAACAGCCAGGAACTCGCAAGGTTCGCAACACTGGTTAAATGAAAGGGCTAACCCATTCATGTAGAAACACTGGCCACTCCTTGTGAAGATTATCCTTGCTGCATCCCGTGTGCTCTTTCTTCTCAAGGCTTCAGCACTCACAGTCGAATCCTTTAGGCCGGCGGGGTTGCAGATATCAGGCAGAGCCTAAAATCTAAAAGGTACCGGCAACAAATCGTGCATCTTGGCCCTAGTGCGCCGCTTGGGGCCAAGGATGCCGGCAACACATCGCACATCTGAGCATCGGTTTGTTGGGCTGCCCTTGCCGTCACTGTCACAATGTGAAGGGACCCTAACCATCAGGACCATCAGATAGGTTATCGACACAGGATGCTGCGATTCAGGATCTAGGAAACCCTGCCTTCAGGCAGGTCAGCACAACTAGCCCGGCCAAGGGGATATGGTTGTGACGCCGAACTTGGACTTCTCGAATTGTGCGAGTCATCCATGCGCAAGTAACAGTCAGATCTCCTCAGGCCCCTGATAAGGCACCTGAACCCTCCATCTCGACCCCGACTCCCTGCTGTGGCCGAGCATCTGCCCACTGTGCCGTCACCTCGCTGGAGAGCTGCTTCTGAAGCATCTGTCCTTGGCACAAGGAATGACAATGAGTTGTTGAGTTGTGGTTCAAGATGGGGGCTTGGGGGGTTTGGAGTTTGGATCCCGACTGCTGGTCCGTTGTGCGCCCCAAGCCCAGCCAAGCCCATCCTTCGTCTTTGGACTTCTGCTGATCCAGGCTTGGAGCTGCGCAGCTTGGGCTCCAAAAACGAGTTCGGTAGGTGCCATTTGCCATCCTTCCTGAAGCCTCCGAAATAGAGCGCCGAACAAAGGAATCCGCCGCTTCGCCCTCTAAGGTCTAAGGCCGAGCGAAGAAGCGTTGCTGGCCCAAAATCCTGCCGAGCCGCCGTCCTCTGATTTTTTCTGCCTGGACGGCGCAGGGAGTTGCCAACATATCCAGCATGTGCTGAATCCAGGCACCGTCATGGCTTAAAACTTGCAGAGCAGCTGCAGTCGGAGAGGAAGCAACATCTGCTTGCTTGAACGGCCCTTTTCCTCTAGCCGCTAGCCCATCATGTACTTTACGGTCTCCAGTCCCTTAAGATGGCCCGAGTTGCTGCACTTCGAAGGCTATTGCCGGATCCAGTGCAGTGTTGTACTTGGGATCGAGGCAATACCTTGGACCGGCGCTTCTCGTGCAGGTTGTGATAGGGGATTCCGAGCATGACGCGACCACTGAAAAAGGTCCACTGATCAGTGCTCAGCTCAACAGGTAGTTGCCATGGTGCTGCACCTGGTCTACATCAAGGCTGGCTTTCGCATTGGTTACAAAACTTCAGGCGGGACGAGCGAGCTACTTCCCAACAGTGCGGTCTTTGACGTGCTACTGCTGGCCATGGCCAGCACTGTCAACAAGCCTCGAGCACAGCATTGGTTGCGTTCTCGTTCACTCTAGATTGTAGCTGTGACAGGAGATTTTTGGGTGATGACCTCATAATGTGCCGCCCAACCTGTTCTCCCGGGCAGCCAGACTAATCAGTGACTAGTCCTTCTCCCACCTATACCGCAAGCTACGCATGCCGTACTTCAAACATTGTCGAAGCCCGAATCACCCAAAGACAAATCCAGGTCTCCAGCCTTAAACCTGGAGCTGGCACGCATCCTAAACTCAACACCTACTCACCTGCTCCCGAATGCGCATATAGTTTGGCTGGGTGGCATCAACCGCGGGACCCGCCAGTCGACTTGGTCCTTGGCCGCAGGCAGCACTGGAAGCCTAGTTTAGGTTACACAGCCCCTATACAGTATAGATAAGAAAGCAGTGTATATACTCGAAAAATTGAACCTTGTGCGGTAGACCCCATTGTATAGGAAGCTCAGATTCTACGATTTTCAAACTTCGACTCTCGAGGTTGTCGGGAGCGTTCGAGAAGCCTTCACATCGCCGCTTGCGTCCAGAGCGGGGATAGGCGGGTACTTGTCGGGAAGAACTTTCCACTTGGGTCCAAAGGCTCTGTCTGTCTGTGGGCTCTCTTCTTCAGCTCGTCCAGAGGGGTCGCAAGTGCTACCCCCCCTCGCACCGGGGAATTAGGTGCGGAAACATCGGCAAAAGACCCCGAGGCTTTACTCACTGGCCGACCTCTTAAGCCCCCCTTTACACTAACCCCCAACACGCCTCGGAGGCTAAGCAGTAAACTGTCCTCCGTCCTCTCTCTCTCTCTCTCTCTCTTTCTCTATCTTGCTTGCATGCGAGCAGGGAGCGCCCAAGCCCTCGCTCTCGCTCTCTCTCTCTCTCTCTCTCTCTCTCTCTCTTGTTGAGTGTCGAGCAGCTGTCCTCTGCGACTCCCCTCCCCTCCAGCTATTCGGAGACTCTCTCACGCCCACACTGTGGCGTGTGAGGCCCAAGGCTGAGGTCGCGGCCAGGTTGTGTGCCGCTGCTTTCGACATGGGCTGGTCGTACCTCGTTTTCGGTCACAAGCTTGTTCTGCAGGCCGGAAGAGCTCTGAAGCGTTCAATTGCAAACTCCACTCTGGCTCGTTTCATTCATCCCTGGTCCTAGAACACCTCACGCCCTCAGGGCTGAACGCTGAACCTCTGCGGTAAGCTTCAAGCCCGTCAATGCCTCGACTGCTGGATTGCCTGTCGAGCCTCGAGGATGCACTGATACACTTCCCAAAAATTTGTTCTGCCAGCGTAGATCCCCTCACAGTGATACACCACCAAGGCGAGCGTGACGACCACGACCACCAGGCGACCATTACGACACACCAGCACGAAATTGGGAGACCGGCAGGAGACCACAACCAGCACGACCACCAGGAGACCACCAGCAAAAACACAAAACACCAGGTATCCCAGAATACCCACGAGACACCTGGAGACCAGCAGGAGACCGCCAGGAACCCTTCTGAAAACCACTGGGACACTACATGTACCTAATTGTACCTATATTGGGGCACCTGGAGACGGTCACCTGTGTTCCCACGGCCGGCGATTGGGAATTCGTCACCTGATCGAGACCTCAGGCCGCATCCAAATCCACTGCTATTTGGGGGTTGAGGGCTGTACCATAGTACCTTATCTCTGCACTTCAGGCTCGAAAAATGCAGACCCCTCAAGTTTTAGAGAAGGCTGACGAATTCGAGCGCCTGCGCAATGACCCGCAGGCCATGCTGCCGGAACGCCAGTACTCGGCGGACGGCCTTTTCTTTTGGCCTCCTCTAACTAAAACTTTGGAGAAATTCAGCCTTGGGTTTTGGTCCGGGCGCCGGTGCTGGGACGGGCCTGCACAGGAAGTTGAAAAACAAAAGCACTCTCGCTGCCTACTGTTCTGAGAGACCGTGGTCTTGAAATGGCATTCCCACCTCACGACTAGAGTGCGACATGCCCAGGCCCCAAAAAGGTCGACTGCCTTGGAAACTTCAGTGCCACGTGCATCCAGTGCATCAGTGCTGATGCATGCCATGATGCTCTGAACGAGCTCCTTTCGCTTCATCAGCGCCGCATCCAAGCCTTAGGGCAAGCTCTCGATGACGTCTACCGGGCAGGCGCGCGCACCCCAAGACATCAAGGATTCAAGGTACTGTTGCAAGACAGCGACACATCAAGCTCCATAGCATGTATATAAGGACACTCACGCACTGACTTGATGTGTGCTGTGTTGAAGTGGGCGCAAGTGGCCAGAGTGTTAGTTATTGAGAAGCAGCCTTACGCCCAAGATACAAACGTGCTTTCCTGCCAGTGGCAGGCGGTAGCGGGGCGGCGTAGGGGGAAGAAGACGGACTGCGGCTGTCGGGGTCTTGGGGTTTTCTGGGTTTCAGCCGAAACCAAGCACGTAATTTCGAAACCACTTAGCGATTGTGACGTCCAGTCGCAGAGCAGTGGGACGTGGTCGGTGGCAGCGAACAGTAGTACGTTGGCCATGTACATATATATATATATATACATACATACATAGATATACTGAACATTGAAAGCGCTTTTGCAATTCTGCTCCGGCACCACCACCGCATGCAAGGCCCAACTGGACTTCAAACAGTTTGCTAGCCTTACATGTTGTTGATGCAGCCAGACGTTGTGCCGTTTCTTTCAAAGACTCAGCTGTCGACCCGGTCCCCCGCATCATCGCACTCCACACCATCACTCTCGAAGCTTTTTCAATCCCTTTCTGAGTTCAGACTCAACAGGATAGCTTGGACAGTTATAATCCTTGTCGGAATCAAGCCCTGCAGTCAAACTTTGCAAGCAGCTGGAGGTCCCCTGCCCCTGACTATCCTTGCGCCAACGAGCATTCATTGAGTTCCTTCTGCACCACGGCATACTGCTCAGGGCTCATCGGTTGCCGCGCTGTGGCCTCAGATAAACTAGCTAAGTGGCAAGGCCTGCAATGTCTCCCTCCTCAAACAGTTGGACGCGTGCGGCAAAACTCCGAAACGCCTCGTTTTGAAGCCAAAGAACGGTTGCAGGAGGTGGGAGAGGCGCGGGCGCGGGCACCATTGTCATGGGAGGCCCTCGCACCGAGCTGAAAGGCGAGTTTGGTGCTCGAGAAGCCATGGGACTGGGCCCCCTCAAGTCCATGGTCCCAGGCCCCATGGAGTCCATAGGTCCAGGCATGAGCCCTCTCAAGTCCATGGTCCCCGGACCCATCGAGTTCATGGGTCCTGGCATTGGTCCTGGCCCTCTCAAGTCCATAGTTCCAGGACCCATCGAGTTCATCGGTCCTGGCATTGGTCCTGGCCCTCTCAAGTCCATAGTTCCAGGACCCATCGAGTTCATCGGTCCTGGCATGGGTCCTGGCCCTCTCAAGTCCATCGTGCCAGGACCCATCGAGTTCATGGGTCCTGGCATTGGCCCAGGCCCTCTCAAGTCCATCGTGCCAGGACCCGCTGAGTTCATAGGTCCGGACATGGGTCCAGGCCCTCTCAAGTCCATGGTTCCGAGAGACCCCATCGGCCCTGGTCCTCTAGAAGCCATGGGTGCAGGGTTTACCGAGCCCATAGTGCTGTAGGGCCCGCCCATGGGGCCAACAGACGCCATGGGTGGCCCCTGCATGGAGGCCATTGGATTCATTGCTGCTGCCACTTTTGTGTGGCTGACTGGTCCTTGTCTCTGCGCCAAGAAGCAACGGGCATGCACAAATATAGACCGAGCTCAACGACGACAATATGTTGGGGCCAGCATTGCTAGACATAAACATCCTGCCGTCTCTGTCCACCAATTGCTGGGTTCACTGGTTTACATGGAAGATCTGGCATAATCGGTGAACAACCCGCGAGTATTGACACGTGCAGGGTAGAATCATACATTGCATCAAAGAAGGAACGCTTCACTGTTTCGGGTGTCGGGCTCCCCCTTTCTGAAACTACACCGGACCCCTAGGCCCCCAAACCTAAACAAAACCCGGGCGTGCTCTATCGATGTTTTGAGCGAAATCAAACCGTATAGGAATTTCAGCAGGTAGGGCACCCCCAAAAAACAACCAGAAACGAATACGATCTCGTGTATATATATATATATACATATACACCTTGCTCGTCATTGGCCGCAACCAGCAATCGAGACTCAGGGCAAAGCGCTTTCTCCGCGGAAGCTATTGAGGTTTGTGAGTCTCGTTTTAGTGTGCCGGCTTCACTTTCAATTTGCTGATTAACTTTTGCAGCTGAGTGCGCCCTTGAAATGTGAAGTCGGGGAGTTCTCTTTAAATCTCCATCTGCCCTTCGCAAGGCGCATGCTGCGTCAGCCAGCATATGGCAGCAACGAAAACCAGGGCAGCTTGCTCCTACCCAGATACCCCCTGCCTTGAACACTCCGGACTTAGGCCCTAAACGTGTTCAGCCACTTTCTACAGTAGCTGTAGGAGGTGCTGCCGATGTCAACACAATCACAACACCAACAGAAGACACAAGCCACAAAAGAAAACCATCCTGGACGATACATCACAGCTTCTATCGAATAGGTGCAATAGCAGCCTTAATTCACCACTACCTTTGATTTTTACGCTCACTCGGACCTAGATCCGATTGTATGCACCCTGAGGTCACAGCGCTGGCGAATCCGACGTGACGACCCGAATTCGGGAATTCAATATCGAATTTATTGACCAACCTACAAACAGTGCAACTTGCCACAGAATGCCGTAAAAGCGCTGCATGCTGGACGATGCATCATCCTGCGGCTGCCGTGCAGCGGCTTGGAATCTTCTTTAGCATTTTTAGAATTGCCTTGCTGGCACTGGCGGCTTCTGTCACTAGGGTGAAGGGCATAGTGGCATAGTCTCTCGCAAGCCATCCTCAGGCGCTGGACCAGGAAGCGAAGATTCTCAAAGCCTGCTTTTCCTATGGCTGCCAGGATTGTTAACTCATATTGGCCAGCAAAGGCAGCCGAATGAAAAACAACCCCTGATGTCGCTTTGTACTGGGGATGATCAAGAGCACGAAACCGATGGAGCGACTTATGGGATTGTGCCTCGCGGCTTCGAACTCCTGCATTCAAAAGCTAGAGCATCAAGTGTTTAAAAGCAATCTCGTGTGGCCGGAAAACACGTGAAACACGGTGCAAGACCCTTGAGCTAAAACTCAATGGATCCCAGCGCGGTCACTCATTGGCCAATTTCACCTCCCTTGCAGCCTGGCGGTGCATAACTTCATCACTGCTTGGAGAAGAACATGACGATGCTTGCCAAAGATGCGTTTAGAGAACACCACTTGCCCGCCGCCAAGAACCAGAGTGTTTCCGGCAGCATGCTCAAGCTGACTCAGCCAGTTGCAACATTATCCGGCGGTCTATGCAAGAGCCATTGTGATTCTTGAGCTGGGGTGTGTGACTCCTGTTTTGACGCCAGTGATCTTCCTGGAGGCAAAGAAAGCGAACAAAGCGATGGTGCGTCTACACGCGGACCATAATAGGGAGATGCCTATTCTTGCATGTTCGTACTGGCTAACCCGGCTCTTTGTAATGTGTGCGGTGACCAACTGCTTGACACTCACCGGCAAGTCGTCTCCACTGCCCGCCTAGACCTGTCCATGGATCCACCTACGTACCCTTGAAACCACACAAGTTCGACAAAGCAACGGCAGTAGGCGTGGTGCAAGACAATATGAGTGCCAGGAGCTGAGAACCTTCATCCCAAACCCTAGAACCTCAAGCTCTGCCCAACTCGCGCGACCTCAAACATAAGCAATACACAGGGCCCGAAGACCTGCCAGTCCACAATCCTTATCCGATATCCGTATCCCATCCTAGATCCAATTGCCCGGACCTATTAGCTTCAAACCCTGAGTCGACAAGGGCTCAGAGCTCAGGATCTTTGTGCGACGAAGTAACAAGCGACCCTTTTTAATTTTTGCACGTCCATGGGAAAAAATACTCTTCATACCAGCCACTCTGCAATCCCAGGAGGATCCACAGTCAGTCAGGAAAGGGATATCCCACTGAGTCACAAATTTCAACTGGATGTAACAGGTTTTAGAAGCCTCAATGTTTCAGCTGCCACGGCCGGTCGAAGATCTCCTGCCAGGCGGCTTCAGGCTTTGAAAACGCAGCAAAAGTGATCTCAGCCATACTTAGAACATGGCCAGTCGTCTTCGTAACTCCTGTTCAAAAGATCTCCACGAATTTATTTTAACAAAAGACTCTAGATATTCCATGGTGCCAATATGAGTCTAGTGTTTTCGGACGGCTTCAGCCGAAGGGCTGAAGGGTCCCCTACAGGCAGTTCAAGGGTTTGAGAGTTTGAGGCTTGGAGGTGTTAAGGTCTGGGGGCGTGGTGCGCTTTGAGTTTCAGGCTCGTAGGGCTGAAGGGTTGGGCTGCGTCTGTGTCAGGCTCGCCGTTTCAGGGTTCGGGGTGCTGGCCGCCACTGGCTGCCGATTTCGATTTGGGAATACTTCCGGCTTTCGGTGCGCATTGCCTCCCGAGCTCCAGTTGTGTTGGATCGAGGATCCACCATGGAGCGAATGATAGCTCGCCTGTTCTTGCTTTGAGCGATCATCCTGTCCTGAAACCAGAGTTCTTCGAACAACTCCAAGCACCCAAGAGCCAGCTGTCTTGAAGAAGCTAGAGTCCCTCATCAAGGTCATGTACGCGAGGTCACATTACCTTCGGGACCTTGCAGTCTGCACCAAAATTGTCCCATGCCCGAGCCGATAGCCTGACAGCTACTGCTGTGAGATTCTGGCTGCTTCGCGTGGAGACACGTCCAAAGCACAAGCCAAACTTTTTACTTGCCCGGGTCGGTAGAGAGGACATCCAAACATGTGATGATGACGTCGCGGAATTTCTCGATCTCGATCTGCGGAATGGCCACGACCAGCGCAGCGGTGCGGAGTAAGTTGCAGACGCGATAGCATGAGCGTAGCACGTCCCACTTTCCCCCTGACCAGGTGTCGAGACAAGCTTTGTGTTTAGGTAATGGCCGAGCTCGTGTGGCATCCCTCGCCGAAGGACCCACTTCTGCCCACTCGCCAGCACACCACGAGCCCTATTAAAACCTCAACCCGGACCCTAAACATCCCGAAACCCTTTCCCGAAAGCCCCTCTGACCTCGCTCGGCAGGTCCGAAACCGAGAGGGCTCTTCGATGCGAAGCCGCGGCCTTCACGACATTGGTGGACGGCTTCTTCGTGTTTACTGCGTTCACGATTGTTTCTATGATACTCAGTTTGCTTTGTAAGCTTGCTCTTGGATTTATTGAAGCGGCTAGCACTAGTTTTCTTGCAGCCTTTAAATCTTACTAGGCGGGCTTCGACGTGAACGCTCCGAAACACTTAGAGAGTGAATTCGAACTCAGAGCAACCTTCGGCACAACACATGTCAAGAACCGCTTGACAATGACTTTGTAAGGACTACTACAGCTAAAGCCCAAGCCACGAACTGTAACCCAAACCTGGTGCCCTAAAGCCACTAGTGGACCCGTGGGATGGGCTCGGGTGGTTGGTTCTATACGCTGAGATTCAAGGTCTCTATGATGTAATACCTCTCAAATTTTTGGCTTCTGGATTATACGCTTCGGTTTCGAAACCTGTCCATGAGAGTTTACCAGTTTGCTGTTTGGGTTTGTAGGGGTTGTTGCCGGTCGAACCTTGCAAATGTTAAACGCTCGGGGTTTAACCGGGTCCACTACATCATCTGGCCCATGAGTTGAACGTACTCTCTCGTCCTAAGCCACGGTCTTGGGCGCGGACATGTTTATGATCCATACTTGTATGCGGGGCCCAAATCGCCTCGTGAAGAGGGACTTCGATGTGCCCCAATGCTTTGCTAGCATTGCCCCGTTATGAGGAAACACAAGCATGCCTTCATTCTGCGGAATGACCACCCCTCCTGGAAAGATGCTGAGTTGAAGGTTCCATCTATTGACGGTCCGGTCTGGCATGGACATCGCCCAGGCATCAGTGGTCTGCGGGTGCTTGGTCTGTAAGATTAGATGGCTGTCCGACTTGGGTTGCATGTTGCCACCGGTGCCGGAAGATGACAAGATTGGCGTTGTAACATCACAATGTTTTGGTGAGCGGCTGGTTCACCAGTCTTTGACGCCCATGGCTAACGATCAGAAGGATATGCATTGCACAGCCTCTTCAGGAATGTGCCTTGAGCAGTCTGGACAAATCTTCGGCGTTGTTGTTTCGAACCAGACTGATACGTCGGGCATGACGGCATTTGGCTTTGAGGTCCCCCAAACCACCAATGACAAGCTTAACGCAACCAGTTGTGACGCAGGGCGAATCGGTAAAGCACCCGGGCCCAATCTGCAAAGGGAAACAGTTGGACGGTGAGTACAACCACGCGGGCTGCAACATCCACAGGCTTGGTGGAGTCTGCCATCTGTCGCCGATGTCCATGCATCATAGTCCGGAGAAGACCGGTGTTCGGGAGGTGGATGCTTCAGATACCAAAGATCGCTGCCGACGTTTGTTTGCTTCTTTGACCTGTCATTGTCCGACAGGGGATAATGAGGCGTGAGTCTGCGTCAAGACCTTGTCTGGCAAGTCCATACCAGGGATACGGAGGCTGTTGGCACCATCGAGGCTTGTAAAGATAATACCCACGTCAGGGAAGGCAATAATTATCCCTGATCAGCAGTTGGTGCGAGAGTGTCGAGGTGACCTGCAGTAGTTCGTCCAGTCTGTGATTGCGATGTGCCATCTTGGACACCATGATCTCTTGAACCGAAGCTGCATTCGGAATCTGAGCCGTCAGCACGGGTTCTGGCTTACTGAGGGCAATGTTTCTTTGGCTGCATTCCGACTGAAGGTAACCTTTGTTGGGAAGTTGCGTCGTTTATTCCGGTTGGCAAAGCTTTTGGTGCTGGTTGCATCTCCCTTTCAGAAGACGATGCTGTGTTGTGATGCCAGCGAGCCTCCTCTGTCTGATGGAGCTCACGTAGTCTCCGACTTCCGACTGCATTATATGTTGCAGATTTCTCTGCCAAAGCACTTTAGACGGTGCTTCTGAAAACATGCTGCCGCGTGCCCCTCAAAATCTAATCAATGCACGCTCTTTAAGCTGCGCCCGGCCCGGACTCTGTACCTCGAACAGAGAACAGCGACAGTTGCATGCATGTGCATATATGTATAAATACTGTTCGAGTGTATACATTATGTCTATGGCAGGGCATGCATGGCCCCGAAATTTGGAGTCTTAAGGCTTTCGTTTCGTCAGGTCGTGGGACTTTGGTTTTAAACTGCCGCACAACTAGGTCAGGTCTACCTTCCAAGCGCCTCAACCTCTCGAAGCTCTGCGTAAAAGCCGTCGACGTCTCGTCGTATGCGCTTGTACCAAGGACTGGACTCCTTGGAGACAGAAGGCTTTTTAGGCTGAACGCTTCAGATCAGAGAGAGATCAGAGAATTTTTACTAGCGTTGGCTTGCAATTCCGAGCGGAATAGCTGCCGGACCATTGCTTAGGGCCTAGGCCTAGCCTGCCAGGTCTTTGCCGGTTGGACATCACCATCCCTAACTCCAGTGACGGCAGTGTCAGAATCGAGACGTAAAACTTCTGAGCGGGACACCAAGCCAGCCAAGCAACATCCGAACTCAGCGCACATCCCCGCTTGACATTGACCTGTCTGCAGCCGCTCTCTTGGGTTTGCTTGGCTTCAGCCACAAGAATTGAAAAGAAAACTTAAGTGTTTTTCATAGAACCTCCGAAGCTAACGTTGCAGGAGCTCTATGCAGCAGTGACGTCTGCGTTTTGCAGGGGAAGCGCTGACTCCTGTCCGATGCATACCCTGCGCTCTACGCACATGGAAACCCCATGCCTAATGAGGAACAAACCAATGAATGCCCGAGCCCATCCACCCATGAACCTGAAGCCCCGTGATGTGGAAACCAACATTCCAAGTCAGTGTCCAGATGCAAGGATGGTCTTGGCGAAGCTGTTCGCCAAGAAGCGCAGTGCGCTGGAAGGAATCGGCACACCCACCTTCTAGGAATGCTTGGATGTAATTTAAACTAACACATTCAACCACTTTTCGGTCCGGGTTTAGTAAATTTCGGGACCCTTTCTAAAAATGCAAAAGCTTTGGCAATCTTTGGTAGTTGCCCGGTTTATTGCATGCCTTGACATGGGCTGTGCTTTCTTGACACTCGCTCTCGACAGGCCTGGCAAGGGTTGGGTATAGGGGCAGGCGTTCATAGGCCGGCAACCACTGCGATTGTACAAGCTTCGCCAGCATGACGACTACTAATCCCTACAGTATGTTGGAGATTGGATCTCGGAAGGTTTCCCAAAGCAGGCTTGCATCGCGACTCACACATTGCATCCAAAACCCGCACTCGAGCTCAAATCCTGGAGCCCTTGTCAAGCTTTGTGAATGCCCAGTCTTTCGTAAAGCAGAGCTGTAGTGAGATTCGTTCATTGATGAGCATAGGGTTCATAGTTGTGATGGTCCGCAAGACCGATACCACCACTTCCGAGACTGCCCAGAAATCCAGAAACCTCAAGTCCAACCAGAAAACGCCGTTACCGAAATTTATCAGAAACAATCGGGGTATCAGAAATCTCTCGCAGCACTTCAGCGAAGGCATTTCCCCTAAGAGCAACGAAGCCTGATCTGAAAGGAACTTGCCAAACCGAGGTGTAGCGTAATCAGCTGTCCATGCCCGTGATCTTGAAACACTGGATTATGGAAGGATCGGAGGAGGCTTGATCTACCCGTCAGCCGGTCTGGGGACTCGCCAACCTGCTACAAGCCTGAACACCCGTTTTCAAGTAATTGTGGTAAGGATTGAATAATAGTAATAATAATAATAGTAATAATAATCGTAATAATAATAATAATCATAATTCTGCACGTCGTGTCCGAAATCCCACTGCAAGCCGTGCGAGCCCAGGCGGCGCCTGGACACGCGAAACGGAAACCATCAGCAAGCCCGTCTCGTTACCCCCACGGGGGAGCCACAGATTCTGCGTGTCTACTTCGATTCCTGGGCAAACGAGGCCAAACCCTGGCCTAGAACCTTACGGTTTACTTATGTGCTTTGACCAACAGAGCTTCAAGACATCAGGACGCTATATTATAACAGCATCGATCTTTCAGGTTGACCACCAAACACAACGCAGCATGACCTTCACCCTTGTACTTTTCGATTGTGGCAGAACCGGATGTCCTTAATTCCTTGTCGAATCTCGGCACCCAAGAATGTGGCTCGCAGGACAAACTTGACCGATACATCGAAAAGCTCGAGACCCAGAGCCCAATGTTGAACCTAATTCAGACATTTAGCGCCGACATCTCGCAATGCTCACGACTGAGTAAAGGGAATGCACAGAATGTCTAACGCAAGCAAATGACCCACTTCAGCCTGCAAACTTGCAAGGCACTTCACCGTTCACGAATGGCAGTGCGACATTGTATACCAAGCGAGCGGAGGTGGAGGTTCGGGCTGGATCTCGTCATAGGGCCGCGAAAGAGACACAAACTTCAAGCCCACTTGAGGCGGGAAGCAAAGTTACCGACAGTGGCGGCTTACACTGTGGTTGTATATGAAAAGTACAGTAACCTCTAGACCTTGAGCCCTGTCAACCTTGTAGGAGATGCTATTTTTGCAGGCCAGGCGCTTTTGCTCCAAAATCGCCGGCGGGGCAGCTGGAAATCGCGGCCTTCCGTAGGGAAGTCCGATCCTCAATTCGGACGGGGGAGGAGAAGAATTGGCTAATGTGATCCCTCCTATATGGGTGAGTATCAAGGGGCACAGAGTTCACGACTTTGGAAGCATCGAAGTCTTTTAGGTCGGTATACAGTAACAGTAAAGATTCGCAAGTTGGAACCAACCTGGGACTAGGATGTCTCTGTGTTACGCAATGCTGCACAGTATGCCTCGTCTGGTGACAATCTGTCAGTACGGACTTTAACTGTTACTACTACTACCACTACTACCACTACCACAACTACTACTACCACAACTACTACTGCTGCTACTGCTCCTGCTCCTGCAACTGCAACTGCTACGGCTACTGCGACTGCGACTACTACTACTACTACTACTACTACTACTACTACTACTACTAGTACTACTACTACCACTACCACTACTACTACTACTACTACTACTACTACTACTACTACTACTACTACTACTACTACTGCCTATCACCACCACAGTTGCTACATAGAACCCGTTTCTGTCAAAGGCACGTGCGATCTCCACCAGGTACCCGAAGTCCTGCATCCGAATGGTTTTAGGACGGATGATATGAGGGCGGCGGCCCCACTAAACGAGGGAACTCATGAACCATGCGGGATGTAAAGGCTATACATTCAGATGCCGCCAGCAATCGCAGCTGTAATCTGGTGAAGAAACCTGAACTGCTTCAAACCATGCCTCAAGAGCCACAGTTTCAGCGGTGATGGTTGAACCCTTCACGGCAATAGCAAGGGGCAGCGAAGGACGTCCTAGGCTGTGGTCCTAGATGCCACATGCTCAAACAGCCGGAGGGTTACTGTAGCCGAGACACCCATACTCTACTTGCTGCGATGGCTGGCCGATCCTAAGCCCTCAACCCGTTGCTCGACCTTGTTCGACACGCGGATCAGCTCAAAGATGGTCTCAACGTAGAAGGATAATATCCGAGCGAGGGTCCGCACCTTGTTGTGGTTGAAGTTCTTTCGAGAGTAAAAGACAACCCCGACAAGCCTTCTAAACCCCATCGGGAAGCGCAATACTGTCACCTTACGTGACATTTTGAAGCGCTCCTGCTCTGCTGCAATTTGCCACCAGAACTCCCAACCTAAAACCCGAAATATCCTGAATCCTTGGGTTTCAAAGGCCTCGGACCCTCCGTGCCAGTTCTGGAAGGCTTCGGGGGCCATAAAAGGTCAGCTTGCCTGTCCCTCAGCCCCGAAACCTTTCATTCCCACACCCTATCAGCCCAGCAGTCTAAAACCCAAAATCCTAAACCAAGGTATTTGGGCTTCTGGGCTTGGCTTCTGGGCTTAAAGCACTTAAAGCCTTGAAAGGATGTTACAGCTCGCATTTTCCGATTTGTGGACCAAGGGGAGAAGGTTTTATGGCCTGTATAGGGATGCATAGCTCACGTGCAGAATTCGGAATCCGAGCTTGAATGAAAATTCGGAACATAACATAACATACTGACTTAACGCGAAGCGAACGAAGTAAAATCTGAAACTTCCAAGCCTCCTCATGCAGTCACAGCAGCATAGCCGTGAGAGTCGCCAAAAGGTTTAGGGCTGCAAAGAGACCATCAAACGACGAACTGTGAGATCTGTGCTGTTGTTTTTTCGGCTGCATGGCCACTCATCGCTTATGACCGGCACGCAATGCCTCCATCATCTCATCTGAGGTCATACACCATCGATCCACCCGATCTTGGGTCAAGTTCTTTGCAACCCATTCGAACATGTCGCCACATAGCTTCTCGCCTGGCCTGGCAAAGGAATTTCGGAAAGGTTCCAGTGATTGATGCTCTTCTCCGTGACATACGAGATCTGAACGCAACAAATACACATCGTAGCATGGCTCCACATACACGACGGAATAACCTCGAGATTTGGCAACCTTCGATATGGCCGTAACCGATGCCCCTTCAATGTTGTACTTGATACGCCCCAGCTCGCTTCTGTGCTCGGGGAACGTCTCTTCCGGAGACACACCCGATGTGCAGTTCAGGACACGGTCCACCTCCAGTGGATCATGGCGATTCATCTCAATCTGGACAACGCGTGGTCGGAACCGTGTCTCAGGTGCCACGAGGGCAGCAAAGATCCACAAGTCACACGTGTCTGTGTCAATAGAAACAAAGTCCAAATCTGATGGCACCCTATACCTGTTGAAGACTGCCACGATGTTCGAAGCAGTTATGTGCTCCCTGAACAGGCCACTCTCCGGCTGATGGTAGAAGCGGTCGAATCTCACACCACTCCAACCTGCTTGCAGTAAATACTCCGTATTGCTGTCCTGCACTCCATGATAGCCAAACTCGACATAGAAGGGCGGTCCTGTCTTGCGCGGTGGCAAGGCATACGAAGGCGATAGGAAAAGGAAATGCAAAATGGAGTCCTGGTATTGCTGAGAGTGCCACCTCCACTTTGCGAATCGCCGCAGTGGCTCAAGCAGTTTTATTGGCGACACGCAGGTCGCATGGTCTTTTTCCGCTGGGCGTCGGACAACTCTCTTCTGAATTCTTGCGCAGGTCACGGGGCACCAATGCTGTAACACTTCCGAGCAAGACTCATTCGTTACTTTCCTCTCCCGGTGAACAGCAGGGCAGTCCACGGACCCGTTTGTTCTTCCCATGGGATTCCTAATCAGGAGCATATCCACAAGACGGTCATGCATGTGTGTGCAAGGTTCCCTTCCACAGCGGTTGTAATCACTGACTGCGTGTGGTGGTAGACATCGAGCGTGTGTATCGTGCCTCTTCGCATAAGATGCATGCAGCCGCTGGTACCTTGTCAATCCATCGGCCCAAAGCACGGTGATGTAAGCATCTTTGCGGCCGGGTCCATCTGCTACTGTTGCATTGCGCCAACACGACAGCTTTTCCGGTGTGCATCCCCGGTCCCCGCGATATGCCAAGACGCGTTTTCCCAGTGGGCAGTTTTTGTGCAGGTCTGCTGGCTTTGGCATTTGCAGCTGCATCTTGAGGAAGGAATCATAGTTGGCAGCATTCAGGACGTTCTGCATCATGGGGACCGAGATGTGGACTACGTACAGTGCTACGTAACTTCTTACGTCGCCTGGGCCGTTTGTGTTATGGTGCTTGGCATGAGGCACATTGAGCTTCTGAGCTCTGAGTCGCCCGTTCGTGATCTGCACGTGTGTACAACCTAGAGGAGTACCAGTAGTTGACTAGCACAGGCCACACGATCAGCCCTTAATGTCTGCATGCGGTGCTCAGGTCCAAAACCACTCCATCATAGCTTCACGAATACTTCAACTGAGAGAGGCTGCGACATTCAGGCGACAAGATGGGTTCCCGGTCAATGTCCCGTGGTTGTGCGGGTGCTTTGTGCCAGCGTGCTTGTGTTACGATGTCTTCATGAGCTGACAGGCACTGCTGATTAGATGCTTGGTGCTCTAAAAGCTAAACACTTTAGATTTCACCTCATTCTCTGCATTTATCATGCCGCGACCGGGAGTGCTAGCTTAGGGGGATTTGGCAGCCCCTGCGACCCCTCCACTTGTCGGGGGGATGGTGCCAAAGTTCGTTCGTATTCATATAAGAGCAGTCATGATTAGTCACAACACGCATGCTAGCAAGGGTGCTCCCGGTACTCAGGAGCTGAACAAACGGACCAAGCGAAGGAAAGGGCTTGAGATGGTGGCAATCATGTCCGACAGGTGCTACATTATGAGCCCTCCAGAGTATACCAGTCGCCCGAAACCACACAGCCAGCCCCCTGGACGGCTTTGGCTTCTTCATGTATGCCGACCCAGGCACGATGGCATGGTGCGGCTTCGGCGGAATCAGATCCCTGTGAGGCTCCACGAAGACGGGCTGGTACTTCCTTACCCAACTCATGACCGCTCGGGGTGTAGGGTGCAGGATACATTATACAGCGTAGCTCTTCACAGGTACGTGTACATAAACCAGTGGCTCAGATCCGCAACGATGGTCTTGAGAGACTTGAAGTTGACGTTCCTGCTTTGCTCTCAAGCGGTGCCCCGGTTTTGCCTTGGCTCCCTGAACGGTTGTCGACTGTTGCGGATTGATTATTCGAGGTGTTTGCGGTGGATTTGGGAATACTCGGCAGAAGCCTTCACCTTCCTACCATCGATTCTGCTATTCCGCTGGGAAGTGAGGCATGCATGGACTAACACTTTCTTGCCCAATAATTGCCGAGCGTCAAGATCAGCTCTCGTTCGTGCCTTCGCGGTGCTCAGGTTGGATAGATAAACATGCAAGCCACATCAGCTGATAAGCCCACCAAACAGCACGCACTGCTTCATTACAGCACGAATGGGAGCGACCAAGCTTTACAGGAAGGCAGGCGTCTCCATATATGGTGCCGCGTTGTCGCGTCGCAGGCAACCCCCCCCCCTCTCACCCTTCCCTGGTATGCCCCCTCCCCCACCCACCCCCACGTCCGGCCTCTCGTCCCAACAAACTGAATGATTTTCATTCGGGTCTCTTGAGCAAGGGTGCGGATGGGGATCATGACCACCATCTTCGTCACACACACACACACACCCACGATGTCTGTGATTACCAGAGCTACTAGAGTGAGGAAGCAATGCCTGGGCGGCTTTGATGAGCAGCGACAATAAGATTGCAGTGCACCAGCTTGGTAAGGAAGAGTCGATATTGACAGCGACACGGCACAATGGCAAATGGGTATGAGGCTTCGTGCTTGGAGTCTTTGCTCTAGCATGCTGCCTGCCGGGACCTCTGGCCTTTCTCAGCGCTGTCCCGGCTGGCAACGATGAGGCGTTATTGAACAGCCTGAACATTAACGCAACCTCCTGACCTCTTGAAGCTCAGCCGAGTGACAAGGGCGCCATGCAATTCACAAGCGGGTGATCGATCTGGGCCACGATCTGAGCCGGAGCTTCGCTGAGGACAACCCTGTGCCGATAAAGCCAACCAAACTATTACACGCTAAAGCTCTGCAGCCTTTTGCACACAAAATTTGTTGCTGCTTTTGGGTGTATGTCTGAGTATATATATATATATATATATATATATATTTCTAAGGAGGATTCAATATTCAGCTGGTAGAACGGTATCGCACAAGTTTCTGCCATGCGCATGGCAGAGGCGGTGCTGCACGATGTGTATATGTGTAACGCCGTGAGCTAAACGAAACCTTACCACACCCTGCCTCAAAGGAGAAAAGTGCCTTCTTGAAGGAGGATGGACTATATTTCTTCAATGGAGAGGAGCAAGATGGAGCAAGTCTCAAGTTCGAGCCATGACATGATGTCTCTCAAGTCAGCCTCGCCGTTCATGAAGGCGATTCATGTCTGTAGTCTTCACAATCACAATGAATATGTTGCGGCGACGGGCGTGCAGGTTTGTGTCGCAGAACTGAGACGGTATATAAGTTGCCATTTTGGGGTGACGCCCTGGGCTTTCAAAAATGTTGGCATGTGGGGCTGACTGCAAGCCTTGTACTCAAACCACGAAGCACCCGGCGCCGACCGGACGTAGAACTCCTGAAAGTGGCTCGCAGGGTTTAGGGTGCCAGGACTGTGGGGTTTGCTATATTTTCCCATTGGCGCATACGCAATAGCGGCTTTGGGTTGATAGGGTTTAACAGGGTTTGGGGCTGCTCTTGCGAGTAGGGAACAGCTGTTTTCTGGCCGCAAAGCCCCGATGAACAGTGGACTCGACCTGCCTTGGAGCGTCAGGGCTCGAAACTCCGGAATCCAAAACCCCAGCTGAAACCGAGCCCGGAATGTCAAGAATCCCCTGCCACGCCACGTTATCTCGAGTCAGCATGAAGGCACATGTTTGCAGGGGTCGGTGGAAACGATGGGTGCCCCTGATGTCATCATCAGCACGATCACCGAACGCATAATGATACAGTGACTAGATGTGCGTGTTTGTGTTGAGAAGTAGTATCGTCAGATTCTCTTGCTGACACAGCGGCTGCATCGGGCCTCGCCCAAACCTGCTTGAACCTGGGCAAGCTGGAAAAACTCTGCGTGTGGAATGCGTGGATGTCACACTCTGGAAATTAATTTCCGGCTGGAAATCAGAGTGGAACGTGAGCGTGCGGCAAAACACTGAAGATTACTTCCGCGGCTTAGCAACATAGATTATCGTTTTTGGTATTTCACGTTATCGCTGGCCAGTCAGGCTGAACTGCCTGCTTTGTGACAGTGCATTTCACAGCAAATCAATCTTTAACGGTCCGGGACTGGGGCAGAGGCTTCGCTTGGTAGTCTGCTTCAAACCCAAGTTGCAGGTTTGGTCCGCATCTCGATGGTCTGAGAAAGGATTTGGTAGGTTGGGCCACTGTCCAACAAAGTTTCTCGGCAGAAAGGCTTCAAACCCGGGATCGGAGGCATTTTGGGCAATGGACTGCCAAGTCTACTTTTTGCTGCAAACTTGTTATCGTTACGTTATCGTTTTCGACACAGTGTGGACGCTCCACCAAAACCTGAAAATCAAGGCTCCGTCGTCTGATCCCTTTGCGATGCTAGCCCTCCCAAAAAAGCAAACGCATACAAAGCGTTCTTTGGACTTGCCAAACTGAGGATGAAAGTGAAAATGCTGAAACATGGGCTTAAGTAGGGCGCGGTATTCGTTGTACTTGAGAAGAGGGCCACGAAAGCTAGGGGAGAGGAAGCGTAGCTGCGAGCAATTGGGGCTGAGTAAGGCGGGGGACACATGTGACATGAGAGTACTGTCGAACACGAGGCCGAGGCGACAAGGTATGTTCGGTTCAGTTTCATGGAGTGTCAGCTGGCTGAAAGATACTTTGGATTTTCAATCCCAAATTCTGTAACCCTAAGACGTAATATTAGAAGCCAACAGGCCAGATTTTGTTAGAAGGTGCTGCCGCCATGCTGTAACGGGAACCACCGGGTTGGCGTTGCGATCTGGAGGTTCACATCTTCCCGTGGCCTCGCAGTTGGACGACACTGCGAAGGACCAAAAAGAACTGGAGCCAAGACGCAGCGCAAACGACAAACTTCAAACACAAGCAAACTCAGGGGCCTTGTGGAAGGAGGGGGGGGGGGACCTGTGGGTAGGGGGGGGGGGAGCCCCCCCCCACCTTGTCCCACGCGCCGCAACCTTAAAGGTGTGGGGGAGGCGGGGGGGGGGAAACCACACCTTGTCTCTTCAAAATGCTTCATGGGCGAGGTGAGGGGGGGGGGCGGCCCCTCCTCCCCCCCACCCCCCCACCTTAACTCTTGGACGTTTTAGCTGATAAGGTGTAAGCCCTGGTTTTGCCCTAGTGCCTTAATACAAGGTAGACCAAGTGAAAATTGCTAAAGGGCAACTCCCGCGAGCTCAACAGAGCTAGCTTTCGTGATTTTGCCACTGGCAAGCAGCAAGCGAGAGCCTTATCGTTTTTCGTATTTCGCGTTGTCGCGGCCCATAAAACCCAATATCGACCCTTCAGCATACACGTTATCACGGCCTGCAGTAGCGGAACTCTCACCTGCAACGACCTTCTGCTAATCCCCCCACAGACAGTCTAGCTCTTCAGAGAGAAATGCCTGTCGCTAACGTGGAATGAGCTGTACGCAGATGCAGATCATGCTGATGACGAAGGGCCACGACCTAATTAAATACTTCTGTGTTCAAGTCGCTCCATCTGCCGCAGCACATGCCACTAAGTGAATTCTGGCCCAATGCTCCAATACTACACTGGGGAGCTCAAAGCCAGCAATGCGGCCAGATCCCCCCACCGCCCAACCAAAGAAGGCACCTTGTCGGCTGAAGCGTTGCACGCGCGGAGTCGTAAAGGGTGGACACGCGCTGTACCTGTCTGCCATGGGCGGCCAACTTCCAATGTCGCAATCGAAGAGAAGTCCAGAAAGCCCCTGAGTGTCTCATCTGAATTCCGCCGCCATGCAATCTACAAGTAACAGAAGCTGGGACAGCACGTGACCTTGACAACATATGATTGATCCTATCCACCCTAGAACTTCAGAATGTTCGTCAATTGTGATTTTGGGGTATTACCTTGAGGATTGCAGGATTGCAGGATCGCCAACTTGTTCTACCCCGGTTCGACCGTGTCCTTGTGTTCACTAGCTCGACTTCTAAGAAGCACGTTGGAGCTGCGGGTCAGAGATGCCTGTCGGCTTGGACATCCGAGAATTCGTGAGCTGGTCGGGTCCCTTATATTGCATTGAGAAGTTTAATCGCTGTTGCAGCCCTTCGCAGCTGTTAGAGAACCCTGAAACCCCAACATAAGCATGGGCTTTCAAATCTGCACCTCGCACATTCATAATCCCAGGGAGCCAAGCGCCTCGGCGAAAACGGGCGTGCTGCGCAGCTCCTCGAGGAACGAGCGGGCTTTAGGGTTTGATGAGGTCGATCGTTTGGGGATGTAGCTTGGTATTTCCGGTCCGAGAATTACGACGTTCCTCTCGCACTGCGTTCTGCAGGACAAAGGTCTCCTTCAGCCTCGAAATCGCGCGTGCTCTCGACAACGTCCACCCAACCTCCATCCGTTCTCGCAGAGCATCCATGGGCGAACCATGACCACGTCCACCCAGACTCTATCTGTTTTCGCAGGTTCTAGCAGCACATCCATGTGCCAAAGACGATAACTTCTGCTTATGTAGATATGGTCAAAAGTTTTCTCGTGGGATTTCGTGGTGCTGAGATTTTTTCGGTTGGGACGGATCTTTTACTTAAAAAGCATCCTAGCATAAATTTTCGTCCAGTCCACAATGTTCCCAGCTTTCGCACAACGATCAACCGGATAATGCCCGGCAAGACGTCCGTGCACAGCGGCTTTGTGGAGTTTCTAGGGCGCAGGGCCAAAATGAAAGCAAATAGGTCTCAAAGCTGCCCAGGATTTCCAATGTGAATTCCGAGTATGTTACCAGAAGTCGCACGGCGACTTTATTCTGCGTATGTAAGAGCATATGTCAAATATCCCCGCGGTGGTCACTGGCATTTCAGACAGCCGCGTGCCAGCAAAACAGATGCCTTGCAGCGGATCAGATCAACGCTCACCACGCATATAAAGAAGGTAGCCGCGCGATGCCGTCAACTTTGGATCCTGACTTCCAATACAGCCTACATGCACACGCACGCACCCACCCGTGGGGAAGATTCAAGAGTTCCGACCTCCAAAGCCCCGGGTTAGAACTCTGAGCAGCATAGGTGCCTTTGAATTCCTTTGGCTCTTGGGCTTACTTGAGTTTGAAAGCTTTAGGTAGGGTTTCCGTTCGGGCGGGCAGATTCAAGCCTCGTAGAGATTTAGGGCCAAGCAGGAGCACCCAAGCATGAACTGCTTAGGGAGCAGGTGTCAGTAGTCTATGCTCAATATATGGGCCGCAAACAAGAGACGTTTTTGGGGCATGGTAACGGGGCAGTCTCCATTTTCACCATTCCGCTATTATGCGCTGCTTGGATCCCTAAGGCCACAAGCTCCAAACTCCCAGCGCTGTCCTTTGCCGCTTCTAGAGCTGCCGTCCCCGCATTTGGCGCCTGAGGGCTAAAGATGAAAGTCTTGTCGAGTTGGGCTTTGTATATGTCGTGTTCGAGCAGTTCGGGGCAATTAGAGTCGGGGTTTGGCATTCTGGGTTCCGGCCTAGGGCCGGCTATGACTTCGGGTGTCAGCTTGACGGAGATGCAATGCGACCTGTAGATTCTAGATTTGGAACAGGGGCTTGGGAGCAAGTGGTTTCAGGAGTTTATCAGATGTCAGATTCGCATTCGTATCTAGACCAACCTTGCAAAGGGGTCGTCAGCCCTGTTGACAAGCAGCGGGCCTGGCAGCAAGACCAGGCCCGTTTGCCCTGCAAAGGTCCCAATTCAGGATCTGTCACTGTAGCAACAACATGGCGATGAAATGGCGTGATGTTGATGCAGGGGCTCAAGGATTCTTCAGCCTTCAGACACGAGGCTTCAAGTCTCAATGCGGGCTTGGTGGTATTTTTTCCCTCTCGCATTGGAAGCCTGGCTATGAAGTATCCAGGCGCTTTTTGACGGCTCCAAGAACGGCTTCTAAACGATAGGATTGGTTCTGGGAGGGTGGAGTAGACGACTGTAGGGCTCCGGGCTTGCAAATGTCCTGCAAACCAGGAAAGAAATCGCCGAACTAAACACCCAACAGACCACCAGCCTCGAGCCGTGCGAGAGCTTTGGCAATGACCGCCTCGGCCTCAAACTCTAGTCGAACATTATAAGCCCCAGGGACCTAGAAGCCACCACCTGACAAGCTGTCGAATGTAGAATCGTTGAAGGCATGGAATACCGCTTACTGAACAGCGGGCTGAATGTCCCTATGACAATAATGACGGGGTTTAAGTCGCGTGCTCAGGACGTGGAGTCTCCTCGATCCCTTCAAGCCGTTTTACTGTCCAGACGTCCAGTTCCACATGGCCAGCAAGTGCAGGAACACTGCATGCCAATAACATATGGGTATGTAGTAAGCACAAGTCTACTGGTGTGTTGAGGACTGCGTCATCTGGCATCTTCAGGAACTTCCCCCAGGGAATCAAGGCACTATGGCTCCGGTATGTAGGCTTGGGGGTACTCGGCTCCTGCATCGCCAGCCTCTGAAACGTCTGCTTCCACGTTTAAGATGGGATGGCATACTTGGAACCATTCACGTGTCTACCAAGAACCGCACGGCTTTGCATCTGGTAAAAACAAGTCTTCTCATTCTTCGAAAACGATTAGGGTCCCGTTGTAGCTGTCGGTCTAAAGCCCGGAGTTAGCCTTACAGGTTTCCGCGACCACAAACCGCACCTCCAGCACGAAGTAGTCGTCTGCAGTGTACTTTGAAGCCTGGTCATGCCGCTTGTTACATGCTTTGGGTTCAGGGCAGTCCCTAAACACCAACACGGTTCGCTCAGGCCTTGAACCAACTCTAGCCTGAGGATGAATTGCGAACTTGCGCGTAGGCGTACCGGGTCCGCCGAGTTGAAAGCTACCCGCACGGTGAAGGCACTCGTTGAGATGGTCACGCCGAGTCGGAGTAGATACAAGTAAGACGCAAGTCGGCCGTCGTCAAAGATCTCAGTCCTATACCAAGTTGTATGCAGACTTCACCGTCGCACCTGAGCTTCCGCATCTCTGGCCACGCTGCTGAGATTGACCTGGAGGAGCAGAATGGCGATTCAACGTGCAAAGTGCCTAGCGCAAAAACTAAGTCTTGGTGTCAAAGACAAGCGTTCGCGGGTTCCGTGTGATGGAACCCCCCGACATCCCCGAACTCCCAACCGACACGGAGACCTTGTTGATTGACTCACGAACCTCGAATCGACTTGCTTAAGTCGCCTTACAGTCCCCATGATCGACAGCCGACAGCCCCCAAGCCGATCCCATGCATATCCCAACGTCTGCACCATGGAAGCTCTGACAGACCCAACTCCAACTGCCGCAAATTCCAGAGATCCGTCGTAAAGTTGGAGGTCTGGGATTCAAAGGCGAGGAACGAGCCGCTCCATGGGGAATGTTGCGCAGGGCTCGGGTCGGAGAAGTCCAAGTCCTTCCAAGGCGCATCAGTGCCGCAGGCGTCAAGTAAAAAGTGTGCAACAGCGAAGCGCTTAACCCACGCACGTCCGAAACTCTGAAACCCTTAGAGCCAAAACGGGATCGACGTCTCAGGGTCGGCGCTTGGAGCAGGATGGACGACTGATGGCAGATGTCAACAAACCCAAGAAACGCAAGACATGGTAGTTTATGTCTGTAGAAGCCCACACAGCACAACATCTTAACACACAAACAAATTCCTGCTTCTGTTTGGAGAATTAACCGCAAAGCCTTCAGAGACGTGGGCTAGAACTTTGGGAGAATACCATAAAGGAAAATCGAATACGCTTTCACTTCTTGAACAAATATGTAACATCGAGTAAACCGTCACTTCTTCAAACTCAATGTTTTATTGTTGAGGAGACAGGTCACCACTGACTTGGAGATATCATGATAGCGATGCCTGGCAGAAAACACACCAGACCATGTGAGTATTCTTTCGGTATATTATATACATACCTGCACATGTTTATCTGTACAAGATTATAATATGTGTATAATCTAATTCTGTGTGTGTATATATATACATCTGTTGAAGGATCCAAACTTCTATGAACGACCGCTACCTGCGACAAGGTTCTCTGAGCCCCTGCAGTTGAAAAGGCCATCACGTGAGATACCGGCTCCACCTGCCGGACTGCTAGTTTAAACTTCTTGACCTGCTACAGAAAGCCCCCACCTCTCAACCTCTATAAACTCTAAACCCCAAACCTGTCCTAGCGGCCATAAACATCTCAAATAAGCCTCGCGTGATCATGCATCTTCCATTGTGATCTTTACATTCTTTCGACACGCACACTCGGTGACGCAGGCACGGCTTTACAGGCTTTACGGGTGGCGCACATGGCCGTGAGAACGGCATGAAGCAGAAACTTGCGGGGTTTCCGAAGATGAGCCAGAATCGACAGATACGTCAAGCTTACCTAAATTCCGAAGATCCACTAGCATCCCGAACCTCCAAAGCGGACATCGTGAATATCACCCCCGCCTTCACCTTTTGGGAAGAGATGCTGCGCAGCACGCGCATACAGAGCCAGACAGCCGACCCCGACGCAGGCCTTGCAAAGGTCCCCTTTTGCTGCGGATCATTTCCCTTCCTCTCCATCGGGTCACCATCAGTTATCTCTGCATTACAGAGTTTTCAGTTTTTAAGTTTGCAGGGTTTCCGATTTCTGCAGCATTTTCGGGCTTCTCTGTCAGGAGCCTCTACTCTTCAGGGTCGCGAAACCCAAAGAGTGGCTGAGCCCAAACCCGGCGAACAATCTCAGGAGTCCGGAACCTGAGAAAGCGGCTTAGGAGCCCGATGATACAACACGACACCCGACGGCGTAACACTCAAGAGGCTCTAAGCTATGGTTTTTGGATGCGTGATGTTAAACCTTGACGGGCTGAAGGGCTTACATAGGTGTATATGGTTGATGCAGGAAAGCAAAAAATCAAACTATACGATCTCGAAAAACAAGCAACGGAAACATCTTTTCTAGGAAGCCCTCTTTTTGATTTCAACAATCCGTATTCGAAGTCCTGGCCTTCGCCTGAATCGCTCCATTTACAAACCCGTATACACAAAATTTCCAACTCCTTACCAGCCTCATCCTAGCTCTCCAAAGTCCAAAGCCTTTCTAGGATACTGCACGATGAAAGAGTACCTGGTCCGGTTGCAACATACATACAGATATACAGACTAATACAGACTCTATTGCTGAAGCCAGCGGTCCACGGGCCTTCGTTGTAGTTGCTCGCCTCGTCCCACGGCCATCGGCAATGCGCCCCGGCTTCGCGGACGCCGCCATGGTGGGCCGAGGCAAAAAAGCAAGGGGCTAGGGGCTTGGGGGCCGTTGGAACCAAGGATTTACGTCAAAAGCTCCATGACTTGACCAGTCCGGAAACAGAAATCACTGAATTCACAACGTTGTTTTAAGTTTCTGGGTTTTCAAGGGTGTGGGAAGGGTGGAGTCGAGAGGCTTGTGGTCCTGGGGTTGCAGTGCGGGGGTCTCGGCATGGGCTTAGCATCTGAAGTGCTACAGTGCTGGAGAAGCTGGAAAGGCGACCATGCAAGCTCTAAATGCCAAAGCCTAAAGCCATGGTGATGAGAACAAGAGGTCCAACCCCAGTAACAGCAGTGTGCCATCGAACCTTCCGGGATCATTAACCTGCTGACATCGAAGAGACCATTTCGGGAGGGGCGTGCTGCAGCCAAATTTGCGGACCGCTGGGGTGGTGTCGGGACAAGCTTCTCAATTGCAGTCACCAACAGCCCTGGGCCCTGGGCTCGCAGGTTGAAAAATGCGGAGTTTTCGCTATGACTTGCACAGAAAAACACCACATGCTTGCAGGAACACGGATCGTCAAATGGCGCTTGCCTGCGCTGCCACTATGCAGGCCTGTGGCCTCCGTTGGGTTCTCATGTTGCCTTGGGGAAGGAATTGACTGCAAACGGACCGTCGGCATCGAACCCCAAGCCCTCCTTTGCAACCTACAACATAACCTATGTTACCAATGCAGGGCTGCAAGCATAATTTGACTGGGTGCTGTTGGACAACAAAGCAAGGAACATGGTACCTTCCAACCAAGAAGGCCCCCAAAACTGCAAATGCGAGACAGCTCACACAGCATCTGATCTCAAACATCTTTGTCGAATCTCCTGGGATGAAATCAAGCTGAATCAAGCGCCTGACTTTGGGAACTCCTCCGTCGCTTCGCGTGCGGAGCAAGTCCGAAATGGCGCTGACGTCATGCAGCTTGGCTGTTATCGCTAGGAGCCATGTCAGCCGGACTGGGACATGGCGAGGCAACTGCAGCCCAAAAACACCCCGCTTCTAAACCTATATATCCCGGTACATCCCTGAAGGCCTTAAAAGCCTCCATGGTGAAAAGCTCCGAAGTTCGGGGTGTCACGGCCGCGACCGGCACGGCCAGCCCTTGCCATACACAAGCACCACTAGCAGCAAGGTGAAAATGGCGAAACACACGCCGCCCAACAAGGTGGTGGTGTACAGCATGTCAGAAATCACTGAACCCGCAAAGAAGAAGACGAAGAATGCCTCAGTTCGGGCCAGTCCCAAAACTCAAGCTCGTGGCAATCCTAGGAAAAGAAAGAGCTGATGATATGTATACGGAACATACAACAGTGGCTAGCATCATGTGCAAAACTACCATCTTACAACCGGAAATGCTACGCCGCACTCCACAGCAGCCTTCCGAGGAAGCATGGTTCCGGAAGACAAGAGTACTGCGCATAATCCGACCCGGTGGCAAGAAAAATCGCGAGGCTCAGCAAGTAGTCCAGCCTTGGCAAGCAGGAGCGCTGGAGCAGTACTGGTAGTGCTGATACTGTCGAACCGTCATCCTCGCCGTCGTCGTCGTCGTCCTAGTAGTAGTAGTAGTGGTGGTAGTAGTGGTGTTAGTAGTGGTAGTAGTGGCAGTAGTAGTCGGAGTCGGAGCAGGAACAGTAGTAGTAGTAGCCGTAGTAGTAGTAGTAGTAGTAGTAGTAGTAGTAGTAGTAGTAGTAGTAGTAGTAGTAGTAGTAGTAGTAGTAATAGTAGTAGAAATAGTAGTAGTAGTAGTAGTAGTAGTAGTAGTAGTAGTAGTAGTAGGAGTAGTAGTGGTAGTGGTAGTAGTAGTAGTAGTAGTAGTAGTAGTAGTAGTAGTAGTAGTAGTAGTAGTAGTAGTAGTAGTGGTAGTAGTGGTAGTAGTAGTGGTAGTAGTAGTAGTAAACTACTCGTCTTGCTGCTCCTGCTGCTAGTACTGAGCACCAGCACCCCCCACCGCCACCTGGTACTAGAACTAGTACTAGTCGCAGCAGTTTCGGGTCAATAATTAGCAACACTCGTGGCAGGAGGAAGAGTTGCTGGCGATACCTATGTACATGATGACATTCTATGCAGAGCCCTTTCGCCTTGCTGGGGAGACTGATGTCAGGAGGCCTAAGGGCAAAGCGGGGTTTGCAGGTCCAAACGTCTCACAGCCACCCCTAGTGAAAGGGTATGGTATGCGGGAGCAACCGAGTATATACCGAGTTTCCTCAAGTTTGCAACATGATGAGCCCTCGAACGGAATCGCTAGTTCTCTTGAATACAGCGGAAAGATCACTACTTGCGTGCTCTTGAGTTCTAGATGTCGGGGCTTTTCAAGTCTCCTCTATACTTTCCCCCATACGGGAAGGGCACACTGCTCACCCAGCCAACATGCACCAGCGCAGGGAACACCCCTTAAGCAGTTCCCCGGTGTCAGCAAGGGGATTGGCTTCATGAAAGCGCTCCTCTCTCAGTAGTCAGGAAACAGCTTCGATGACCGTGGAGCGGCGAATCTGTCGCAAAGCCACCACATCACCTGTGGGGAGTCTCTCTACATGAAGGTCCGTCGTCCTTCTTTGTCTGTGACGCAGCCCAAAACGACAGCTGAAAGAGTCTCATGTAGCCAGCACCGCAGTGACAAGTAGGACTTCTCATCCGGACTGCTTTGTATCTGCAGAAGCGCATAGGGTTAACAGGGTCCTTTGAAAGGGAATGGTTCAAGTGGGGAGGGGCAGGGATCCCTGTGGAAAGGCTTTGTGTGTCTCAGCTAAGCGGACGCGCAGAGGTGGACGCGAAAAACGCGAAACACTCGAACAACGCGAACAACTCAAAAACACGCGAAAAACACTCACAAACACAAACAAATCAAAAAAAAAACGCTAAAAACACGAAAACAGCAAAAAGTGTAAGCACGTATCAATAATAATAGTAACAGTAACAGCAGTAACCAATGGCAGTAGCAGTAGTAATATTCATAGCAACAGTAAAACTGGAATGGCAATAGTAACAGCTTTGGTCATTGTAATGCTGACAGTAATAGTAATAGTATAACAATATAAAAGTAATAGTAATAGTCATAATAGAAATAGTAAATAGTAATGATAATAGTACTAGTAATTTGCGTGAAATGAGCACCAAAGAAACGCGCAAATGCGAAAAAACGTGAAAGTCACGAAAACACTAAAAACACAAAAACAAACACTAAAAAATGCGAACACAAAAACAAAAAACAACGACAAACGCGAAACACGCGAAAAAAACACGACAAACGCGAAACATGCGAAGAGCGCCAAAACTAGTTTGATTGTAGTGTTTTGTGTTTTTCGTGTTGTTCGTGTTTTTCGTTATTTTTGTTGCGTTTTTCGCGTTTTTTTTTTTTCAACTTTTTGCGCGCTGAACGCCGACTCCGCTTGTACACGACGCGCAAAATGCTCGCTTAGAGGGATCCTTGGGGAACCTTTCGGAAGCTTAGGAGATACTCGTGAGAATTTCGGACTATGCTGTACTGGGTCGGGGGGTCATTTTCTGCAGTGCAAAGTGCGTCACCTCGGGATTCCTGGAGGGCCTTTCGCAAAAACGAGTCGGACATGATGCGTTGGCCTTTTCGGGCTTCGCCGTACAGATCTGCTATCGAACTTGCAGGTGATTCTTGCGATTACTTTAAAGACTGTTCGGAAGATGCCTACGGCCTATTTTTCACACCGCAAATACTGAGCCGCTAGCTCGAAATTCCTGGAGCTCGGAGCGAAACTCTGCAAAACCCCCAAAGCCCAAACATCGCCTTAGATTTAGCAAAGGGCCTTGATGCAAAGCAGGAGCCAGAAGACGACCCAGCCCAATGTCGAGCCGACGAACTCCGAAGCCAAGGCTGGTAGGGGCGCGCCTCTGCTGGTTTAGGGTTCAATTAGGTCTTTTGTTTGTTCAAAGGTTTCGGCTCTGGAGTTGGGCTTCGGCATTTTGAGCTTGGGGTATTTCGGGATGAAGGCTTCAGGGTTTTGGGCTTCCAGCCTAAGTTTTCTGGTTACTGGGCACAATAGCCCTGCAGGGTCGGAGCTTCCAGTGCAAGTATTGGGAACTTTAGCTCTTTGTCTCGCCACTTGAGAAGGCATCCTGTAAAATGGGATGCGGCCTCTACCCTGGATGCTCGACGCGGGCAGGAATACAACCAATAGAAGGGGTAGTAGCAACGGTAGTAGCAGGAGCAGGAGCAGGAGGAAGGAGGAGGAGCCGGAGTGGCAGCAATGGCGACAGCTGCAGAATCCTCACCGGCAGTATAACCTCTCTCAAGATCGCGCAAGCAGCTCGCCGCACAGCACAAAGGGAGGCTTCGGCCATCATGCATCACGCCAGCTGCGGCACATCCCATTTCCGAACAAAACCAGCTAGACAGTAACTTTGCGTAAACCCTCAAGAACTCGCTGACAGGGCAACTCTTGCCGCGGTTTTCCATGCAGAACCCAGCCTCCTCGAATGAAGGCCAGCCTCTGAAACAAGCTCTACATGCTGAGCTCCTAAATACGGGGCTCCCAGCAGTTGCTGGTATCAACATGTGATTGATTAGTTAAAGAAGATGGACATTCTGAGGCGTGCATAAGGGGACTCCGGGGACTCTGTTTTGATCAGCCGAGCTGCGGGAGATCGATTTGCCATATCCTTTCTGAAACCGTCACCGCAAAATTCCGAACAAAGTGCTCCGAGCCGCTGGCCAAAACTACGAGGAGTGGAAACTACACCATAAGCCCCAGGAGCCAATCCTTGTTTGGGGGCTTTAGCACAGTGCTACGCTTCCCGTTCAACTACGCAACTCCCGAAATCTGAGTCGCAAACTCTTGGTTCTTGTAATGTGAGAGCACGAAACAGTAAAGTTTAACCCAGCAGCACCACGTCCAGTGCCACCCCGACAGGCCCAAGAATTATCATCAGCGCATAGCCCAGCCTGGGCATGAAGAGATGGGGAGGCGCCTGGAATGCGCATGCAACACTCTTGCAACAAGATCCCGTCAAGGAGACGATAGAGGCGCCTTCAACACCTCATGCCCTAAACCATACATGCCTGAACCCCCAACCCCAGTTCCGAAATGATACGAATCGGAGCAGATGACCCACACATGGCAGCTTCTCAAGCCAATCCCTACATGTTCTCTAAGGGGACCCTTCTAACCCTACCCACATGTCTTTCGGGTGGCCGCCGCGTTTTCAGAACATCCCCATCTTAGGTCTCGCACCCGGAGATCAAAACCCTGGGCAAGGTATAGAAACGCCTCGTTAGACATGATTCTAGGAATCCGCTGTCCACAGCCACCTAAACCCTGCGGAGTAGGCCACTCACCAATAGAAGTGGCATGAGTTCGCCGAAGTTCCTACGACTATGAGCTGCAGTATGTTTAGGCTTTCCCGGCACGGTTTCCGTCAGGAATTCGAGCGGCGGAAGGTCAGTTGCAGACATCGCGAGTAGTTCCTCGCGCAGCGGTCCTTTGGAAATCTTCGGGGTTTTGAGGCTAGTTGTTGTTTGGCAGTGTGCCCCAAGACCGCCTGATCAGAATTGGGTGTTTTTTGGTGTATGACTTGCTATACTTTCCATGGGCTTACAAGGAAAAAAGGTACTGAGGAATTTATGCCCCGACATCTGCGGGCTAGGCTTGCGCCGTTCCCACCCATATGAAAGCCGTCTTCGCTGCAGTTACCGGTTGGCTTGCCGAGCCATCCTTTCCTATCACACAGTTGGATCTAAACGTGCGACGAAAGGTGCCCGACACCGATTAATTACGGGGTCTTTCTCAAAGCTTTTGTTCCGATTTGCATATTGTGTTCAATCGAGTAGTTTTCTGTTGAGGCAAGATACTGGCAAGAAGTGTCGTTCGCTGCATCCGCAGGCAAACGCGGAATATTTACTTTGGGATCGCTTTGAGAAGTACCGCCTGCCTATCTACATGCAAACCCCAACTTTCGCTTCACCAATCACGGTTGGTTCTCCGTCCTACCTGCTGGCAGAAACCTTTACCATACAACAGGTGCAACTATCAGGAGCCGTCCTTCTCTGCTACTCTCAGCCAGTGTTTCGGGTATGCCCCAAAATTTGAGAAACTGCCAGAAGACCTCAATAATCGTTCAACCCTGCGGCCGCTCTCTTCAGCAAATGCACAGGAGCGTTGGGCTAAATTCTTGCACCCCAGCCGTAGCAGCCAGTTCCCGGGTTCAAGCTGGTGCCTGCAATTATTGTCACCCTGTCTGCCCCTGTCCGCATCCGCACGATGAAATCCTGAGCCTCGTTATGTACTCACCGCTTCCTGTCAACTACTTACTACAGGGGTGCAGGAGGACCCAAGCTCCTTGCGGTGTTGGGGCCAGTGCCAGGAAGTCATGGACGAGTGCTCTCAGGACCTACTTGTGAGCTACTCACTCACTACACAACATTCACATTCATTGATGTGCTTCCCGGTTCTTGTCATGGGAAGGCCTGTATCCCAGCCTCCGAAACTACTGCTGCCCCCGCTGCCACGGACGTAGTCCGTGAAGTTTTCAACGCTGCCATACCAGGCAGCGATGGCCGACAGCACGAACCTTGCCGATCTAAGGGCATGCAGGCAGCCGGGTCAAAAGAGGATAGCGTGAACCAGCCGTCGCGGCATGCCGCTCTACTACTAATTACCTTGCAAAAATCACCACAACCACATCTGCACTGCCACCGCAGCTTTGTTCTTGCAGGCAAGGGAACTCTCTATCTGATTGCAGTCGGCACTCCGCAGCCTCGGCGAATGTAAGCATGGCAAATGAAGTCAGCTGCAGCGGGTGTGCACGTGACCGCTTCGATGGGCACTGCGACCACGACTCTAAGAGCCACGAACTGAACAGATTAACTCACGGCCGGCACGCTGGCAGCACCCCCCGTAAATACCGCAGACTGGGCCTAAGATGGGGAAGGCTGCCAGGAGTGTTCGGAGTCTGAAAGAAGCGACCAAAGATGACCGGAATGTTTTCTTCCTGTATTTCAGAGGCATTTCTTAGGTCCCGGCCTCCACTTTGAAGCTCTCCAGAACCGCGATAAGCTCATGTTTCTCCTCTGGCTCTCTGACAGGTAGCATGTATTCTCCAAGATAACCTCCACACAGGCAACCTTTGCACATGAGGCCAGCAAGCAAGCCCGCTCTCAAGTTTGACTACACGCACCCCCAATGTGCCACCAAGCCATGTGAAGCTCATTACAACTATCAGCATGCCTCACCACTGTAATCGCCCTGACAGATGGGGCTCTAAGAACACTGTCCCTCATAAACTTGCGGTTGGTGTGCACGATAAAGAGCATGGGTGCCACTGTCAACCTCAGCTGGTCGACATAGGACCTATGTTTGAACAAGATGAGCAACTCGAGTGCACAGACGCTTTGATGAAGTGACATACCTGCTTCGCACGACACGGCCCGTCGCAATCAGACACCTGCATTGGGTGTGCACGTTCTCAAGTGCTTTGCAAGCTGCATGGTCACTGGAAGGCTGAACCTTACTGCATGGCAAATCAGCCTATCTGCACAACTTGTTGCCTGTCCCCAGACTCGAAACGTACGAAGACGACACATGCTAGTGACACCGGCATCGGAATCAGCAAACCCAGAACCACAAAGCCTAAACCTACAAGCCAATACAAACATGAAAAAGTGTTCTCATGTTGTATCCAAGAGCCTCAAGCCCAAACGCACAGCAAACACCTGGGCCAAACCGGGGAGTTTAGGTGCGGGGCGCATGGCCTCGGGATAAGGGACTCAAAACATGGGGAAGCTTTACTGAGGTGTTGTCGTTTTTGCGCTGCATGTCAGCACGTTCGCGAGTTCTGCTCTTTCTTCTGGTCTTTAGCTTCTTTGCTTCTCATCTCCTCGTCTAGAGACTGGCTAGGAATTGCAATACTCAATCAAAGACAATTAGCTCAGGTTCGTACCCCAATAATATTCTGACTGGCTTCAAATGCTGTGAGAAGACGGAAACTCAGTCTCCAGAAGCCTATGAAGAATTTGACTTCCGATTGACACATTGTTCACAAGTTACTGATCTCATGCTGCTGGTCTCTTGAATGTGAGGGTCCCTGGGGCGCCACTTGGAGCACATGACACCGGCAACAAAGTGCACCTCTTGTGCTGGCGGCACCACTTGGAGCCCAAGACACCGGCAACAAATGGTACTGTCGGTTTGTCCGTCATTCCGTCCGTCCGTCCGTTCGTTTGTCTGCCTCTACGTCTGTATGTATGTGTCTCTGTACGTCCGTATGTATGCATGTATGCTTGTATGCATGTCTGTTGGTTTATTATCTAGGCTGTTCAGTAACCCACTGGGAAAAAGTATATACTTTCTTAGGCTTCTTATTTTATAGGAGGAACCCAGAAACCTGAAGTAAAAAAGTGTACCACTGAAAAACCTGGTTATTTGTTTATGATTATTTGTTTGTACATACGGCACGGCCGAAAACGATCACCACCTGATCGTTAACAAACCCCCACCCTCGCTGTGGAAGCTGAGGACCACAAAACGACGACATGGTTGGGGACCATCTGCTCTCAAGGCGTCAAGCCGCAAAGCAGAAGATGCCACCCCCAAGATAGCTGCCCAACATCAGCAGGAAGGCCTGACCTGGGGCTTTAGGATTCTGGATGAGAATCGTAGAGCTCGGGCTCAGGTCCTATAGGCTTCATTAGGCTTCAGAATCTGAAAAGGGCACTAGGTGCCGGTGTTTGACAGATACTGTTGGACTCCGGACAGAAAGGGCGGCTTGAAAGATGCCGCGACTTTCAGATGAGCGGGTCGTGGCTTTAAGCCATGGACCGTTCTAGGGTGACCCAGGTGGCTTGGGTTTCGCGACGGTCTGTTTGCAGCTGGCATGGCTTGATGGTGGTGGTGGTGGTGGTGGTGGTGGTGGTGGTGGTGGTGGTGGTGGTGGTGGTGGTGGTGGTGGTGGTGGTGGTGGTGGTGGCGGTGGCGGTGGCGGTGGCGGTGGCGGTGGCGGTGGCGGTGGTGGTGGTGGCGGTGGTGGCGGTGGTGGTGGTGGTGGTGGTGGGGGCGGCGGCTGCTGTGGAGGGTGTGGGTAGGGCATTGGCGGTGTTGCAGCAGCATCCAACAGAAGCACACTCATGACAACGAATGATGCTGAATAGCCTCAGAGGGGGTGGCATGTTATGCTTTCTAAGGGTGCAAGCAAAGGCAGCAGCCGGGCAGCTAATCAACATGCAAACCAGCATCAATCAACGTCATACTCATCACTGTGCTGCAAACGATCAGGCCGAATCGGGTGAGGGGATAGAATGGCATGTGGACCCGTGCACAAGCACATAGCAAGCCCTGACTACCCAAACCCGGTTTCACTGTCCGTCTCAACCGCAGAAATAACTTTGTCAGGATTGAGTAGCACATGGTTCTGCCCGCCTTGGCAGGAGCTATGTTGTAATGGTACTGGGTCAGGGTGCCTCGTCATCAAAGCAAACTTACTCCAACCACGCACTGGGCGCGAATCTAGCCCAACGGGCAACGTCTTCAATATTTCGGACACAACAAATCTGTCTCCAAAGCGAAGCGCAGGACCGTGCCTCCCTTAGACCTGCTTGTGGTGTCCGTGGGTCTGCTCACAAATAGGAAAAGCAGCTTCATGCACTCTAGCCCCATGTATAGCGCCCTATGGAAGAAGCAGTTTCCATGTCATGGTCGGACTGAAATGCCATTGGATTCTCCATCACCCTTAGACACATTGACATTTGCGTTTGAGTTTACGCATGGTTTTCTGAAGCGAACCAGCGGCGCTCTACAAAGAGCGGCTTCACGAGCAGCGAACCGTCAGGGTTAGCCTTGGCTCCGAGTATGGATGCCACGGGTGTCGCCAGAGCCCCTTTAAGCAATGGGTTGCGGGTATGTTGAGAAAGTTCCACCTACGTGGCTTATGGCTTTGAGGCTTGAACCCTGCACGTGGTGTATGCAGGAGCCACGAATGAAAGACTCAAATACATGTGCATGAGCCTCATCATCGAGGCACCCATGTGTTAAAGACGCTCTTGCGGATGCCAAAGCATGCGCCCTTCCGTTTGAATAGGAAGGCCAATCAGAGCTGTCTAGAGCTGCTCGAAACGGTCATTTCTGTTGCGGCATAACCAAGGCAAGCCAAGGGAGGTTTGCATCTGTGTCGGTGCATTTGCAGTTCGGCCGGAACCTCTCGGTGTCGTGCATAATCAGACTTCTTCGAGAATGAGAATCAAAGCAAAATAGACGCTGCAGTGGTAGCAGTGTGGCAATCATAGAAGATGCGGATAAAGAAGCGCAAAGGTAGCTGTGCCTAATTGTACTAGTAGAAGCAAAAGTGGTACACGATCATACAAGCACACTCATCAGGGTTTCTGGTACATCCGCACTGTATACCCACCATGAGTGTCCCTCGACCCCAAAAGCGCTCTCATCCCTAAAACCACAACCCCAACAGCCCCAAATAACTTTGCTTTCCGAGATCCTATCAATCTTGTTCACAAGGTGGTCGACACCTTTACTTTAGTTGTGCAGGTCGGAGGCCTGTCTCCGCTCGTCTTGCTTGGTGTAGGCCAGCACGGTTGGGACTTGTGTTTCAGGAGCTTGCTTTGACCTTTTCCCTGGGCTCACAAATGTGGTGTCACATTGTTGTTCCTTGGGTGGGGACCCTGCATACTCTTTCCATCCTAGTGCATCCCATGCAATGTCTGCAGTGTCGATAGAGCAAGCTGCCATATGCACCTTGAGAGCAGGGCTAGCTCCCCAAGTCAGCCGGGTCGCTTTGCGAAAAGCGGCAAGTTCAAAGACGCACCATAGTCGAGACCTTTTGGGTGTTCGCTATGTTCGCTGTGAGATGTCAACCTGTGCATACGTAGAGAAGCGGTTGGACACCTGGCAAAAGGTGTACAGTGTGCTTAGTGCTGACATATATACTTCAAGCCGTTGGCGCTAACACACTGGGTTTGGGAATTGCTGAATAAAGATGAGATGCTCATCATGACTTCGTCGCTTCCGATATCGACTGGGGGTATTGCTCTGTGCTTGCTTGGGACAGTATGGGCATAACAAGTAGGTTACCTTCCGGACTTAGGCATGGAGCTTTCGACGGATTGTTACAGTCATGCAGTACGTACAATATGAAAAGTCCCATCACGATAGCTTCCGGGCACTAAAAACAGCGTTGCTGCAATGACAAGGCGTAAGTGAGCATGATCCTGCAGGAGCCCCGGCCAGGCTTTTTTCAGCTACAGGCTTGCATCATCTGCTAATCGCATGAGCCGTATAAGAAATCTGAGAGCAAAGCAAATATGGTGGCGACCACCTTGGCTGCTATGCGCGCGGCTGATTCTGTACAGACGATGTGGCCTACGCAGAGATTCTGTAGGAACTGCCGCTTTACAAATCATCATGGGAACAAATGGGTTTACCAAGAGGTTGTGAGCCGGGAAAACAACTCCCAAGCCAGCAAGAAGCTTAAGAACGTACCTAGTAAACTAGTACTTGTATCGGCATCGGGTGCAGCTTCAAGTCCCCGGCCCGCCAATTCTGACCCGAACAAGCCAAAGGCAACGTGAGCTTTTTCGCATGTGAAAGAAAAAGATTCCTACCAGGCCCCAGGCCCAACCAAAGCTTGCCTTCCTGTCTCTGTTTCTGGTTGTTCTTTGTTTGGTTTTCTTTCTGTAGTTCTGCTTGCTTCTTTCATCCTGCCTGTTGGGTCCTGTGGCCCCAGCCCACCCGCCTCCAAAAAAATCAACAAACACAAATTCGACAAACATGGACCCTCGAAAGAAATACATAATTCTGACAGGAATTCAGATACAACAATCGGTTGCCACATCATATCTTGATGCACTCTGCACATTATCGTGGTGAGCGCTTTGCTACTAGAGGAAGCACTTATACCTCCCGACTGCAAGGTCATGGTCCAGCCGAGTCGCAACACACGCAGCTGGTTCGAAATACTCCTTGCGGCTTATTACAGATGTGGGATTGTGGGTTTTCCGTTCTGTCTCTCCGTCGTTTCAAGGTGGTGCTTACAGAAAGTTTCAGCAATGGTGCAGAAACTCATGCCTTTCCGGAATACTAGCAGGTCTAGAGGGTATTGTGGGCCGCAAGCAGCAAACTAGGCTTCTAGGCGGGGAGTATACTGCAGTTTCAAGAGGGATCATCAGCGGAAAAGGAAGAAACATGTTGCGCATGCAATAAGGTCATTATAGGCCCGTGCCACACCTGAGAAGTGTGGCAGCTCAGCAGTGACCCCGACGAACAGTGACGATCCCAAAAGCGAGAATGGACTGAGCCCTGACACTGTCAGGGTCCCCAAGAGCAAACACCCAACACTCACAAGTGATTACAACTGCCTGAAGCACAATCCTTTGCGTGCTCTGAACCCTGGACATCCCTGTAGAATCTTTATTGGTGTACCTTAAACCCAGACTTCTGAGACAACCACACGCTTCTCTGCCAAGGGACAGAAAGCCACCTAGGCCGTAGATGCCCCGCTCCATCAGATCCGGATCCACCCTGAGTGTATATAGTTGTCCAATCGGTGATGGAAGCTCTTCCGGGTTGCTTCGGCTTGCTTTAGCCTTTCAAGGATTTCAGGGGCCGGGCTTCATATTTATTTGTTGGGCTTAGCCTTAGCTTGGCAACTTTTGTTTTGTCGACTTGGGTGGGCTGTGGCTGTCGCTAAAGCAGGGAGAACCAGCACAGGTCCTGTCCCTGCGTTACTGCTTTATCACACCCACCCAGCCTATCCCCAAAGATCGCATGCTACAGGGCCTTGTTAACTTAGGAGTGCAGGACGTGTCCACCGGCTGCGTGGGAATCAAAAGGCAGTGGCATCGTAGGTCGTAGGTGTCCCTCCTCAAAATTCCGTCGGTTCATGTCACTTCGCCGCGTTCCGCTACACTTTCAAGCAAGCCAGCAATGGGCCAGCACTGCAGTGCACATGCTGACTGCCTTTGAACCAATCCAAATCTGTCGCTTGCTACAAGTAGAAGGATGTCCTGAGGAATCTGTCAGTTTCATAAACGCTCATACCCTGATATGTGTGCTCTGCGCCGTCGCACCTGTCGTTTCAAGTCGGCTACCGTTTCCCCGCGCAATTCTCAGCCTCTATCAGCCTCTATAATCTATAATGAAGGCTTTCAGACATTCACGCCCAACGTTGCTTCATGCCACTGGGATCATCGCACTTGTTCGGCAGCTGGGCGCAATGTCAGAGGTTAGGGTCGCGAAACTCGCCAAGGAAAGCACAACCACACATGAAGGTCCATAGATCCTGGGGAGGTGTTTTAAACTAAGGGCCTGATTGCTTCGTAACGTTCCGTTACGATCTGCAGATTACACCAAGCATCTGGTTGATGCTGACCACATCCAGGAAGCACTTCGGTGAGTGGCAGAAGAAGAGCCAGTACCTCAGGCAAGGGTGATCCTTTTTGTGAGATCCGCCCGGGGAGCCTTTAATTTGTGAAATCAAACATGGACCGTCATCCCAACGATGTCCTCACGATGCTCTATCCTCAAATTTCTACCCCTTTGCATCGCAGCTACGGCAATCCAAAATGTGCATCATGCGTCATGCCCTGCCCTACACACGGATTGCGGCTGTATGGTCCACCTGGGCCAAGGTCGGACATTTTCAGAGGCATCGGCCCTTCGCTGTAGGTGGTAGTTCCCGAACAGCTGACCATATTGAGATTCAACAAAGCACTCGCGTTTATTCGGCTTGCAGGTTGAATAAATACCAGGAACAAATGACTACAAAGATACAAATAACATGAAAGACAGGAATCACTAGAGAACGAATGGCCGGAGCAGCGAGGCTTTCAGCAGCAACGCGACACCTAATGCAGCTAATCCAATCCACTCCATCCATCCGTGCATGCGTGCATCGGCGCATCCGTGCATCCATCCATTCATCCAAATATCCATCCACCTACCTACCCATCCATCCACGCCGGTTTATACACCCTTCCATAAACCCGCGCCCACAAAACCTTCCGCCCCATCCCATGTGCCGGCAGGATTCAGGACCGCTGCTGAAACAATCGCCCCAATGTGCTGGCGGGATTCAGCCCGACAACCAATGTGGCACCACAAGCATCCACAATCGCAGCAGCCGGACGTGCCACGTCCGCCGAGAAGCTTGTCAGTTCTTCGAAGCAAACATCAGGCGCCGATGTATTGGAATTGGCAATGAAGCGCGTTTACCGGAGGATATGGACATGCCGGTAACACCGAGAAAGTAGCCGATTCCGATCACGAATCGTCAAGGCACAACACACGCAGCGCCATTGGGATGGCCCTGGGCCAAAAAAAGGCACACATCAGCTTTGAAATCCAGCCTCGAGCACAAAACCCTCACATCAGGCCATCCATTAAACATCGATCGATCCTGTGAGACCACCTCAACGGATAAAAACGTTCGCAACGCTGTCGGCAAAAGGCAAAAATACGAAACTAATAAATGAGCAACTGCAAGAAATCAAACAACTACAGACACCAACCACACGAACACACAAACACACGACGACCAGACAGACACACAACCAACCAAACAAGACAAACAATCGAGGAACGAACGAATAAACAGACGGTCAAAGTATCAAGCAAACATGCCAAGAGCAAAAACCAACAAACAAACCCAGCGAACACCGATCAACCATCAAGACAAACAACCAACCGAGCTAACAAACACAAACACGCGGACGGGCAACCGGACGGACAAAATCGACGGCACGACGCACGAACACCGCACACACATTCAAACACAAAGAACCAAACACACGAACAAGCAACAAAACAAACAAAAACAGAAGCCACACACACACACACAAACAAACAAACAAACAAACTAACAAACAAACACACGCACACACAAACACACAAACACACAAACACGCAGACACACACACACACACACACTCACACACACACACACACACACATATATATATATATATATATACACACACACACAAACACCCACCAACCCACCCACCCACCCACCCACCCACCCACCCACGCACGCACAAACCCACAAACGCACACCCACCCATCCACGAAAGCACGCACGCATGCACGCACTCGCACGCGCACACGCACACCCGCGCACCTGGTGCCCCCGCACCGGCACACCCGCACACGCAACACGCACGCCTATGCCCACGCCCAGGAGATTACTGGACCACATCCATCGATCCATGTATCCGTGCGTGCATGCATACATGGATACACTTTTGTGGTAAACATTCTGCTTATCACAACCCACTGCTCGCATCTGAGCCATCTCCAAACGCGAGAACTGTTATCCTAAACGATTGGGACCTCACACGCGGCATGTAAACAGCATAGTGTTGACGACACCGCCAGGCTTGCGCACCAACTTTCCACAGCACCGACCTGTCAACTGAAGGCCACGCTACAAAACTTCATGCTGCGCCGCTGGCCTCATTACTGAGACAGAGGTGCGCTGCTTAGCAAGCATTGTAAAAAAAAGTCTTGCGATCTGAAGGAATCCATTCCCTTGGTGATGATAAGAAGTAGTAGACAAGCTCATATCCCAGCTGCGGCGACAGGAAGAGCGAAAGCACAGCTGTGAAAACTCCGGAGAGATAGACCCACCTGGGGATCAGGGTTGTGCCTTCCCGAACTTCGTCGCCTGTCGCCAGACCGTCCAGACCCATGTGATTGCGGATTGTACTGTCTGATCCACACTTCAGATCTGCACTTACACCACTCAGAGCCGCACATGTCAATAACCGAGCCTTCTCATACTCTCTTATACAAGCCATCTTCAGGAGTCCGCAAGGTCGACATCCCAAAACCTCAAGCCCTAAAGTATAAAAGCTGCCTGAATCCCAGTTCTGTGAGGGCCCACGGAGCGAGAGGGCAGATCTTTTGGAAGCCCAGAACATCCCCGCGGAAAGTCAAGGGCGTCGGTAGCCTCAATTCTGTGTGAGGTTGGCGGTTGGCGTGCATTTGGTAGCAGCACAGCTATCAGCTGCGGAGGAAGAAAGAAAGTGATGACTATATTGGTAACAACAGTGGCTAAGTATTAGCCAACAGCTACCCCTGCTCCTGTTGCCAGCTGTTGGTGCTTCACTATGCCGCGGTACTACCGACCCGAACCCAGCTGGGAGCACAGCTAGACATGTCCCTTAAACTCCAAGAAACCAGCCGAATGCCCCCAGGACGAAGACGAATGAGGCCTCATCATTGTCCGCAGCATCGAGGACGGGAAGATGTTCAATGTTCATATACCGAGGGGGAAGGACATGGGCCTAAGGTTCAGCACGACCAAGAACAACCAGATAGGGTTTGGGATGAAACTCAAACATTGAGTTTTTGGCCAGTGGAGTTGGAGTGTAGGCTCGGAGTTAACACGGGCCTGTGTCCGGATTAAGTGGGGATCATGGCCGGTGTATGTGGGTAACTAGGAAACTCATTCGGTGGTGTGAGGCTTGCAATATAGAGGGCACCAACATGTTGAAATTGCGGACAAAGGAGTTTGGATGATCTGGGAATCGTTACAGCTTTTGCCGTCATTCTCCAGTCAGACCGTCAGACCCGTTGTTGCAGAAGTCCTATCTTGGATTGTAGCCTTGCCCCTTCGAGTTGGCTAGCGGCTAGTCAACGACATGATGTGTTCTCTGCCGAAATACAGGAGACGAGTAGCATTCCTGGTCTTGTCTAATAGGAAGATAGAACTATTGCTCATTTTGGGCTGAAACAACCCTGTGGCATGCCATGGGTGTGAACACATATTCACATGCTGCTGTCTTGCGCAGGAGGGCAGAAGAAACGCGACCCCAGGAGAAGCATATCATAACCCAGTGCTGTAGACGGACTTAATAATTACATTCTTCCGTACAGCTCGTACTGACAAAGACGGAAACAAGACCTCATTTTGAGATTTCGGCGCTCACACTCGCACACAGGGTTTACAAACATGTTTCGCCTGCTTTCTGCGGTACTATACTGCATAAGCTTTTGACTTGCAACTCCAAACCCAACATGGAATGCCTGCTTGGCTACGAGTCGCTACCTTGCCAAATCTTGGGGCCTGCTTCCAGAATCTACCCTGCACAGCTGCACGAAACTGTTTGCGCATGCCTCACAAGCAAGCACAGGCGCCACGCAAGCCCAGCAGGTAAGCGTGAAGGGCCAGCCATACTGGAAGAGGAGAGAAAGCACCTACTCCGGGGCCAGCATTCTCTCTTTCGCGCAGCAGGCAGCTTCAATGCAGGAAGCAGAACCCTTGAAATCAAAAGGAGCGCAGGCCCAGACCCCAGACCCTGTATCGTAATCAGGACTGGCAGCCACTCTTCTCTGGCCTTCCATCGGCCGGGTGTTCTCCAGGTGTGGGAGAAGAACCTCTGCAACATGATGGCGGTAAAGCCCAGTATACCTGCCCCGCAACCTTCATGGAATCCAGGAAGAGGCGAGTAAATGAAACGGGCCAATAGTAGGAACACAAACTGAGGCAATGGGAAGACGAGTAGCCATAGCTTGTCATTGCAGGGCAATAAGGACTGCAGCACTTGAAACAGTCAAATGAGTCCACGAACTTTCAGACTGACCTGACAGCAGGAGCATTCATGGCTGTGCAAATATGGGCAAACACATCCATTTTGCAAGTGCGAACCCCTTGCTTGCAGAACTTGCTGTAGGAATAAAGATTGCTTTCCCAGATCAGGCAGAGCCGTACATGCTTGCTGTTTCAATGCTTCTTCGAATTCATTACGCTGAGTGGCTCAAGCACAAGCCTGCACTGCCGATGCTGCATTCTCCATCTCAGGCAGCAAACCCTTTAGCCCCGAACCCTCCTAAAGTCATTCAATTTATCTGTGGGTTGCTCCATTTGCATCACAGGTTTACTGTTTGCTGTTCCTAGTAAGCCCCCTACTGGTAGCAACTGATCAGAACACCCCGGCAGCCAAAGGGCACGTCGAAGCGATCTACGGGCTCCGACTTTTCCCACAACTTCGATTTGGCACGTTCGTCCTTCGAATTGTTCCAGCGCCCCAGGGCTTAAAGTTACGTCTTATGTTTCAGGAGCTTAGGATTGAAGGAGACAAGCAAACGAATAAAAGCCTAAAATACAGGGCCTTTGTTGACACTCCGGCTAGGATGCTCCGGGCCAGGCTTGGTGCGGCGATCAGACAAGTGAAAAGAAAGACATGCTATCATGTAGGCGACACGAAACGACAAAGGCTCAGTATAGGGTCTTCTGGGATGCACAGGATCTACCCCAAGTGACCCCAAAGATAATTACAAGGGGGTTTCCCTTGAGATTCTCCGTGGGGGCTACTTCGAGAAACTCGCATGTAGTCGGAGGAGAAGGAAACCCGACGGAGGGGTGCTGCTAGGATGCCACGGTATGGCAGATTTCAAGCCCTATACAGGTCATAAACCTAAGAATACAAAGCCTGAAGGAAGGTGTACCGGCTGAGGGTGTGCGGCTTCAGTAACACCCCACAGCGTGTCCATGTCCACCGGCGACTTCTGCCAGAGCCGTCCGCTCGCGCGCAAGCTGTTCGCCACCGAGATGCCTCGGACGATGGCAGTGTCCACCTGTGGCTTCGGGTCTGATTTGGGTTGAGGGCTCGGGCAGGTTAAGCTTCACGGCTTCCGGATTTGAGCAGAAGGTTTAGGCGACAGTTCTGGGGATCGATCATCAAAGCTGCGATACCACAAAAACCTACTCGGATTTGGGCACAGCTTCATTGCTTCATGCGGTATACATGCGTGTGTGCATGGGCACGAGGTTTTCCAATGTTTTCGACAGGCGTTGCGGGATCTTGTTCTTCTGCGTGGCATGGTAACAAGGGTTGGGGGGTTCCATCACCAATCACTCCCGAGGATTCCCTAAACAAGTAACAACGCAGCACAGCGCTCGCTTTGCTGTTGAAGAACTCCGCTTTCGGAAGCTGAGTGGACATCTTGCGGAAACGTACTGTGGAAGTTTGTAAAAGAAGCGAATGCCGTGTTTGCAAAAGCTATGTATGCAGGTGGCGTGATAGAGCAACATCCACGAATGAGATGTGAGATCGCCAGTAGAGCCCGAGTCCTTTGAATACAGGATTCTGATGCTGTTCCGGCGCAGTGCTGTTCGCAATTCCAGGGCCGGAGCATGCCGGAGCGTGGCGTCCAATGAGGGCATGTAAGCTCCCCCCGTAGCACTGATGCTGATGGACAAAGACATGACAATAGACTAAAGCTATGTCAGTGCAACACTGCTCATGCAGCCATGAACTCATGTCATTCGCGCTAAGCGTGTAGTAAAGCGATGCCGCGCCTCCAGCACCTTCATGGCTTCCAGCTGATTTTGCCTTAGCAAGCCCAAGAGCAAAGAGATCCAAAGAAACTGCGTGGTCTTCGCACTTCGCACTAGCCGAAACTCCGTGGCAACCTGCACAAACATCAGGGCCAAACCTCATGCTCATAAACTTCTTGGCCCTGCCTTGCCCATACTTCAGAAGGCATGCACTTGAAGAGCCCAGTTGCACTGCCCCGCGTACAAAGTTCGACATGTCCAGGTGAAACGCATAGTCCTGTTGGCACACGGGCTCTGGCTCGGGATCGAAACTGTTGCGCTTGCACAACTCTGGAAAGGCAGTCTCATATGACCCCAAACAAACATTCAGATCTGCCACGGGTTGCAGTAGGTGTTCCATGCAACACAGCAGTTTCAGAGCAGGCGGCGTGTTTTCTTCAAAGGAGTAGATGTTGCCCAAGATGCTCTGTCCGAAGAATAGATCCTGCTCCTGCAACAAGCCCTTAAAAAACATCCTTCATTCGTCTCGAATCTGATGCACTCCATCGTTTTTCATCATCTATAGGGTCGGTCTTGTACAAGATCATGAGAGTTTCCCCGAGAATCAGGGATAGCGGCTCACCCGAAGCCCCAAGCCCTGAACCCAAACTGCGGATCCAAACCACGCAGTGCACCTGTGCCTCCATGCAACCACGAGATTCGTTCACGATCTCAAGACGTCAGAACTAAGGCCTGCACCCCATCGTCCAGGAAATGACCAACCATACCTTCATAGTATCCCCGAAATGAGGGCAACTAATTTTAAGAGCCACCTAGACCTGGACTCAAACGAGGACCTCTCGCGCCGCCATGAACGAACTTCCTGGCGACTCCCCAAATGAGGAAACCCTGAGCCAGACCTCAACCCCAAACAAACGTTTGGGCGCCACCTGCTGCCTGAAATACATCCGTGCAGCCTCGGTCCTCCGTGGGCAGCAAGTCACCTGAACCTTTGTGGGTCTCCATCCTGTGATCATGACAACGCCCCCGCAAACCCCCGGCTTTAACTTTAGGGTTGAGGGATGTTGGCTAAGAGCTTCGAGTTCAGCTTAAACTGAGGCTGTTACAGGGCTCACGCATGAAGATGAAGGGTCAAGAATTCTGTGCTCAGGTTGACTAGTGATCAGATGGGTAGCCCCAGAACTAGTTGAGGATCTCTCGAAATGCTTCCTTGTCGCCATTATCTCAAACAAATCCTAAACGAGGACTTCTATACTCCTGGAGTTATCAGGGGCCCACAAATTTGAGAAGCCGGCATGATCTTCAAATTATCTGTGCCAGTCATGCCAGTCTTCTATTACATCCCTAGCATGCTCGGTGCTCTTTTCCTGCTTGCCCCAGATGTATTGAACATACGTAGGTGGGCCTGCATCCTAAGCACGACGCCGCTCCTGCAAGGGATGTCAGTCAGTGCAAAACCGGGTCCGAAGTCCGTCGTGGGTATGGCAGTGTACACGATTATAGTGTCCAGGGCAAGAAGCGGCTGAGCTTTCACCATCTCCATCGGCACATCCTCCTGTTTCCTTTCAACGGGCTCGCAGGTCAGGGTTGTAACGATTCACGAACTAAGATTTTGGGTTTGCGGATTCTCTGACACATCGTAGGGGGAGCTCCGATGACATCATAATGGGTCCCTCTTACTAAAGCTGCGTGGCTGGACTGACTGAGCTTGGATCCACACTCATGACAAGGCCTTGTCCAGCCGCGAAGAGCTCTTGGACTCTAGACTCTAGGGTCGCTCCCAACGTTTTAGCACACACATACGTGTATGTGTAGTGTATGTATGCATGCATATATGTATATATGCATGTATGCACGTATTATCGGGAAGTGCAACGGGTGACCTTTGTTAAGGGTGACCTTTGTTTGGAGTGAACAAGTTGGTGATCGTTCCTATGGGTTAGTGCTGGGACTCATGACTGAAGAACCTGCAGAGCATGGACGGACGACTAGTAGTTTAGCGATGTATCCCTGTAGTTGTATGTGTGTGTGTGCATGCTGTAGCTCTTGAAGACCACTGCCATCATGTAGAGGAGATCCACCTGGCACAAGTTGACAAAGGGAAACCAAACACACTTGCAACATAGTCTGTGCAAAGGGTTGGGCCTTGTCGTTGGGGAGAGCTGTCAAGTCGAGGTGGCTCCACTCGGACCTGAAGGCTTGGTGGAGGACTGGCCCTCAAAATGACGCCCAAACTCTGCAATGTGAGGCAATGCATTTGCCGGGACTCATCCCACAAGAAATCCCAACTTAGAAACAAGTTTCAGGATTCAGGCTTAGGGTTGAAGATGTTTTGCAGCTCAGCTGAGAACCTGCTCAAAGTCAAACGGGCACTGTTGGCCTGTCTCCCGGCTGTACACACCCCAGGCCTGCACCAAGAGACGACGAAGGCAAGCATTATCGGACCCGGGCACTTCAACAGGGAAAGTCGGGGAACGCATCGAGCCGTCGGGATAAGTAATCTTCCACCGATGATGCCAAACAGACTCCTTGCTGATTTTGAAGCCTGGAGGCAAAAATTGCTTAGCCTGGGCTTGTGTGTACCCTGAATTGGGCCATTCCAAAGCCTTCCTGCGTTGGCCATGGCCACCATCAGGAGCAGGTGGGTCATTCGGACCCCTTGCAGCTTCCTCCTGAGCTGCCTTGGCATTGTCAGCAGCAGCCCGAGCTTCCCGGGCGATTTTGGCCAAGCGCTTTCGTTTGCATTCATCCAGCTCTGTTTGAAGTTCGACATCATTGAAATCCTCACCATCCTCAGCTTCCTCCTCGAGCAATTCCTCCAGCTGCATCAGTTGCTCAGCATCGACATCCTCTTGGCATGAAGTCCTGCTTCTCACAGCTGCAAGTGTCTCCTCCGATGCTGACCCAGCCAACTTCATTGGTAGGTTGTATGCCAGGAACTTCCAGCAGCTTGTGAAGCTTCTTCAACCAGAACACAGTCATTCTTGGAAAGCCATGCAATGCACTGTATTTGAGGAGGGTCTGGCCGGTTTCACGGTACACCCGAAGGCGAATCGGACCCTCATCTTGCTTCTCAGGCTCTACCAGAATGCATCGCCAGTCCTCATGAGACAAGACCACTTCGAAGCCCATGGCATCTTCCGGAAAGTCCTCCAAAGACAAGAAATCCTTGTCACCTTGCTTTACAGTTCCACATCGCAAGCCCAAGAAACCATATGGTGTTGTGTACACAACCAGCCGTGAGATTTTTCTTGTACCATGCCAGACGAGTGCCCCACATGGAACAAGGAGTGACTGCCAGGCACTGGTGAAATCCTCCCAAGTCGTTGCAAGTCGGCCCAACAAAGTGAGACATGCCACTTCCTAAGCAACCACCAATCAATCAATGGAAGCATGCTTCACAAATAATATAATATGGCCCTCAGTCAACTGCTGAGTTATTATAATATTAGTACATATATACCACTGCAGGCAAAGGCTGTTTAACTAATTAAGTATAAATCCAAGGTTCTTTGTGGCGTCGGGCCGAGTGATTGGGCCATGTAGGTCTTGCATCCGTAAGCTTGCTCCTGTCACTTTCAGACAGGGTGCACTGCTCGACATCATTGCAAGCAAAAATATTTCGTGGAAGTGATTTCGGGCCAGAAGTCGGCAGTGTGCCAATGGGGCCACTTGAACCTTTGACCGGCATTGTAGGCCGGTCAAAATCGGCAGGCAGTGTGGATGCCATGGACAGCTGGTGCCAGAGTGCCTTGCCTTCTGCCCGTCCCTGCATGTTGGAGCGACACTTCGCACGGGCTTCGCGAATGAGGTTCTCGATGTACAATGTTGCATTCATGCCCTGGGCATACTGCCTCAGCTCTTCCTTGAGAAAGCTGTACACTCGTGCATCTTCGAAATTGCACTCCAGCAGCTGCACAAAGTTCTCTCGGACCCATGTCTGTTCGGGCCATTCCATGCCACGGCGAACTGGGACCATGGACCTCTTTGCTGCATGGTTGCTGTTGATCCAGCTCTCTAATCGGTCCAGGTTGTCCCAGTCCTGTTTGAATCGGATCAGGGCCTTCTTTCTGACCTCAGAGCTCGGATCCACCAGCAGCACGAAGCTCTTCGGAGGAACGGCGTACTTCGCTTGTGTCAGTGCAAGCTCTCCACACAGCGTGATTGTGAACTTCCAGAAGACACATGCGTCGGCTTTATCCGCCGCTCTCCACTCCGGCCCGATCCAAGTTTGCAGTGTTTCCTGGATCACTCGAGTCAGTCCTTGTCGGGCCATATCTTGCATCAACTCTGCGGTTCCCCACCTCGTCTTCAGCATGGTCATAGCACTTTTGAAGAATCTTTCCAGGGGTGTCGACAAAAGCATGCAGCCATCCACAAGCCGCAGCGTGCGCCGTCTGCAAAGAATGTCAACTGCATAGCGGAGTGTAGCTGACAAGCTCTTCTGCTGCCTTTTCCGATTGATGAGTTTGCGTCCATCAGCCACGCTCACCCGTTTGGCCGTCGGCCCATCTCCGATGATGTCCGGATCCTCACCTTCCTCTTGGGCGTCTTCTTGTTCCATTTGGGCTTGCTCCTCTTCATCATCTTCAGCTGGCCTTCCTTGGGGAGCATTGGCATTCGGACCACTGAAAACTGGGGATTCATCCAAAGTTTTCCACCAGTTTTTCTGGATCCCATGGAACACAAGAAGCATCAGGGTCATTGTGCGAAGGTGTCGCTGCTGGCGGTGCAGCTCCTCTATACTGAACCATCGTGAGTTCTTCGGGCAATGTCCCATGTTGGCATTACACAACTCGGTCCTGCAAATCTCCCAGACCTTTTGGTAATGCTCATCGGACCCCTCAGCTTCCAACCCGAGATCTTCGCAGATGTCTTCATAGAAGAGCTGTAGCAAGCCATTGTGGAAGTCCATTCGGGCAAAAAGATCTCGGGCCGCAGAGAGCAAAGTGTCATGGTGCCCTTGCCGATTGAACGGACCCCGTCGAATGGACATCAATGTTGCGTGCTCTAATCGGGCCAAAGTCAGCCCGGAACTGCTCCATGCTTCTGCCAAGTCATTGATCAGGCGATGGCATAGGTCCCAGCTGACAGTGCCACGAAAATCGGTCCCCTGAACCAAAAAAACACCGGAATACCAGGAGGAGCTGCCTTGATCCTGGGCCAAATGCAGCGTGGGTCGAACCAACACACCTTGCTGCACTCGGACCGGCACTTCGTAGGTTCGTGAACCATCAGCCAAAAGCAAGCAGCTCCTCTTGCGAGGCTCGCCTGAAATCGGACATACCATTTCGGTCATGTACCGTTTCGCGCCTGCTGGTAGCATAGTGCAGGGACGTGATGGCATGAAAGCAGATAAGCCCCAACCATTCACTCGGACCAAAGCCCAGTCGAGGGCCACCAAGTGTTTCAGGTTGGCCTGCCGCTTTTCAGGGGACTCAGGTCCGTCCTTCATTTTCATGAAGAGTCGGACCTCCTCCTCCAGATTCTTGGCTTGTAGCCGAGATTCGGGCACTGGGGCATGGAGGCTCCTTTGCACCTTCTTCGTCAGTGAAAGCCCGAGATCCTGCAGCATCTGAACCCACAATCATAAATCCATTAGTGTAGACTGATTTGATACAATAATTTTCCCCTAGTAAGTAGTTAAACCATCAGCAAGTCAGTACAAAACCTGCACTATGAAATTAAGTCAACAGGAAGAAGTTAACAAATTACAGACAACTTCCAAGCAGAAGTCATAGATCCCTGAAAGTCATTAAAGGGAGAAGTTGTCATTTAATTAATTATGACAAAACAAAATAATCTCAGACCTCAATATCATGTCCTGCGGTGGCATCACTAAGTGCTTAGAGCCCATGCTTTGCGCAATGAACAGCCAATCGTGCGCCGGCTTCCCCATTCGGGCACCATCCAGAGCAATCGAGCAAACCCCAATTTGATGGAAAGTCACTCGGGCTGCGGCGCTTAGCTGGAGTAAGGCCGATTCGATCCATCGAAAAGTGGTCTTCTCGTCTCCGACCTTCATGGCCTTGCTGAAGTTTCCAGCCTTGTCGGACCGCCCCTCTTGCAGAACAGACTGAATAGCGGCCTCCTTGAAGTGTGGGTCCAGTCGACGCTTTTTGTTACTCGGACCCAACAAGACCAGCCCAGTCGATTTCAAGAAGTCAACATTCACCCAGTCTGAGAAGCATGCGCAAATTCGATCCGAGACATCCTTGAGCATGCGGCCGGTGAGTGCGCCGACAGTCGGGCAATGACTGAATTCGAAACCCACTGCAAGTCGGCCCCATATTTGAGCATGAGGTGTTGCATCGTCTGCTATTTGCAGGGTTCCCAACATTTGACGAAGCTCTTGCATACAGGCGCACTCGGGCCTCTCTGCCATGAGATCCAGATCGAGGTGTTTGCAGAGCTCTGTCTCTGCAGTGGTGGGCTCTGGGAGGTGACCGAACCAACCTGAACTGGATCACTGCTGAGATCACAGTGTGACATAAGGGGATAATTATTAATTCAAGAGTTAAGAATCTGATCTTATGGATGACT